ATTCTTCCCTTTCCAACAGGAGCCCTTCAGTGGGGTTGGGGAATCTGTATGTGGGGATGGGATTGGCTGGAATGGGAGGGTATGAGTTTGGGGAAACAGGGATTACTACTGTGGAGGAGAGGTTCTGGGGAAAGGCAACAGCAATGATCCTTCATGGTGGATTCTCTGGGACAATAATCAAGAGATTCCGCAGGGTGAACTGTATGGAGGGCCCTTTCTTCTATGTTTCCTCTCCTGGGGGTGATCTAGCACCAACATATTTGGTGATAAGAAACCAATCTCCTTTGTGACAAGAGCACTTCAACCTTTGCTCTAGCAACACCAACCAGGGGTCCTGGAACAATGTGTATAGTGGGGGTGCTGAGAGCCATTGAACCAAACTGTAAACCCTTGATATGATGGAAACCACTTCAAGTCAGGGGGTGCTGCAGCACCTCTAGTTTCAGCACCTATGGCACCAACAGGGGCTTTGCTTGTGCTGGTGCCCTGGCTTTTGTAGCCCTGTAACTGTGGGGTAACAGGCAGGTTTGGTGTTTGTGGGTTTTTTTTTTTTTTTACCAATTGTATAATTTCTTCTTCAATCTCTGAAAAAATAATGTTAGTTTAATTGTGAAACTGAGCGATGAGAGCAGGCCCTGGAACGTAAGCCATCCGCATTTCATTGCAATGAATTAGACAGGGGAGATCAAAGGGCAAAAGGGGCCCTTGGTACCTTTCCTTGGTACCTTTGACTAGTGGTAGAAGAAGTCAGAGGAGAGTCAATTTATGACAGTGGCCTCTCTCCCAACACCAGCACTGAACCATACTGAGTTGCCATCAAAGGTTAGAAAGAAGAGACTTTTTCAAGCACCTAGAAATAACTCCTAGGGCCTGAGAGGCAAAGACTGCCCTTGATTCCAAGTAATTGGATATAAAGAGATAAAGAGAAGGTGACACTAGTCCCAGGCTTGGAAGAACGCCAGACTGATTAACCAGTGCAGCCCCCCACTAGCTAGAGCTGTTCAAAGTTACCTCAAGGACTCTATGCAGGTGATCATCCTATTATAGAAAAGCCAGTTCCTGTGGGCTTTCCCAAGTCTCAGAATAACACTCATACTTTTAGCAGCAGACTCCCACTTTCTATCTGGTTTACTTAAGGCTTATTTACAACCTGTAATATTTACATTAAGGTTGGCCAGCAGGCTCTGTTCAAGCAGCTCTCCTTTCCGTGACATTTCACTGCTCAAAATCCTTTGCCACTTCCTTGCTTTACTGAGTGTTGAACACAAAGTGATGAATCAATTACCATAATAACATGCTGTCATTATTCATATTAGCTATCCGTAGCTTTTCATCTTCAAAGTACTTTACAGATGTTTAATTAAAGAGATTTGACATTTCCTTCCTAATTAGGGATGGAATAAATACCAAAATATGCCAAATATTTTCCTGCGGTATTGAAGGGGAGGAATATAATGAGGCTTCAAAGAAAGCCCCATTTTGAGCTTCAATATGTGAAAGAATGATGTCACCATACAACTTTTATTGAGCACTCCTGGAATCGTGCATTCAGTTCTGACCACTTCACTAGCAGAGAGATCTTGACAAACTGGAGACTGTTCTGAGAAGAACAACAACAATGATCATGGGGTTGGAGGAACTGGTTAAAGGACTTATTTGAAAAGGTTGAAAGAGCTATATGTGTGTAGGTCAGCTAAGGAGTAGCTAAGGGGGAACATAAGTCTGTCCATATTAGTATGACCAGATAGCAAGTGTAAAAAAAATCAGGATGGGGGTGGGGGGTAATAGGAGTCTATATAAGAAAAAGCCCCCAAAATCAGGACTGTCCCTATAAAATTGGGACGTCTGGTCACCCTAGTCCATATCCGAAGTAGAGTTGGTAAGAAATGTTTTGATGGAAGAATTTTCTGTTGGAAAATGCAATTTCATTGAAATAAAAATGGTTTTTGGGAATGTCTCAATTTCAACAAAGTTTTTGATGAGAAAAGTCTAAACAAATCGTTTAGACTTTTCTTATTTCATTTAAGTGTCAAACTGTTTCATTTTGATAATGTAAAACTGTTTCTTTCCAACTTTATCATTTCAATGCATTTTGTTTGAACCATTATAACAAAATGTTAATGTTAATATTACATGTTTATATATTGTATTTAATATATATAATTGTGAAGGGTCATGCACTCACTCTGCTGGGGAGGAAACCAACGAGTTCTTCTGGGCTTATTCAGCACCTGTAAGTCTTGCTCTGCCTGGAGGGGAAAGCTTAAAAAGCGAAAACTTGCCACAGGATGGGGTGGTGAACTGGAAGAAGACTGATACACCTCAGAGACTGCTGACAACAGAGACAGATCAGCCAAGAGAGAGACAGTTGCAGGCCTCACTGCTCCTGAAACTGCATTGACCACTTGTAAAGCTGGATGCTCCAAGAGGAGGGGCTGGAGGTAGACCCTAATTAAAGACAAAGACTAGTTGATAAGCCAAGCCCCAAAAGGGCTGACTCCAGAAAGATTGCCAAAGAGAGGGGCAGCAATTGCCTTTAAATTCTTTCACTCTATTCCCTGCTCTTGTAAGGGAAAGAGAGAGAAAAGGAGCTCTTTTCTGTTGGTTTTGCTAGGAGAACCCCTCAACTGGGGGAGGGCATTAGAAACACCTAGACATTTAAATGATATGGGAATCAAAATGAATCAAAATGATAACGTTGGAAAGAAACTTTTTTTCACATTATCAAATGGAAACCATTTGAAGAGGGGTCTGGCAGAGATCCACGGGAGCCCCATCCCCCACAATGATATATTTTATTGCATTGACATTGTCAGAATGGAATGTTTTTATGTTTCCAAATGGAGTTTCTTAACATTTTCATTTCATGGGAAATTCTGAAATTTCAGTTTTTTATTCCGATTCAGAATGAAAACAAATTTCAAAGGGTTGAAGTTTCCCACCGAACAGAAATTCCATTTTCTGACCCTCGCTAGTCTGACAGGTGTGAAGCGCGAGCAGGAGGAAGGCCTATTGCGAGTGATAGACAGGGGGAGAAGGAGGAGATCTGGGATGATGCAGTCCATCACTAATTTCTAGGATTCTGTTATATGTGGAGCAACATTCTACCCTCTCCATCACCACCATCAGCTCTTCACTCCCTTTCTGCCCTGTCCCAGGCCCTCCCCTGTGGGCCAGTGGAAGTGGGGTCCACTTTGTAATCACAGTGTTGTCAGGTGAACCCAGGTGCTATGCCTGCCCTTAGCACTGACTCTGTGAGGGGAGCACTATCTGAGAGATTGTAATGGTTCCAGAGCCTGTGGCCTCCCAGAGAACTCAAGATGCAAAGGAAGGACTTAGTTTTCATTCTCTCTCTCACTTTTCCTTGTAAAGTGCCTTGTAAACACAACTGAGGCCCCACCCCCACCCCAGCCAGGCTGGCACCTGGAGCCCGGCTGGGGAGCTCAGGCAGCTGTGGGGCACCAGGCCCCCCACCCGGGGAAGGTGCAGGGTCCATAGCTCCCCACAGCTGCCCATGCAGCTCTTACTATGGCCGGATCAGGTAAGAGCTGCGCGGGCAGCAGGGGGGAGCCATGGACATTCCTGCCCTGGGCCAGGGGGCCCCCGGGTAGGGACATGGGCCGGGGGCTGCTCTTGGCTCCCCCACCCCAGTCAGATGGAGGGTCTGCGGCTCCCAGCCCGCTCCAGCTTCCGGCTTGGCCAGAGGTGGGGCCTTGGGTGAAAGACACGGGACAGGGCACTGAAGGGGTGGGGCCCCCTGGCCCGCTCATTTTTGGGAAGGCTACGCTGCCCCTGCAGTGCAGCCCCTAACTTTTAGGTGCCCTGCCACCTTGTGCAATTCACAACTCTGAGTTAGGTGCCTAGGCCCCTTGCACAAACCATGGGGAGAATTAAGTATCTAAGAAAGTGTCCCCATGCTCCCAAAGGGATTTTAGCCACTTAAATCTGAGCTGGAGGTACGTGAATGGGGCACCTATGCCAGGTGGAAAGCAGGGGTGATGGTTCCCCACTTACAATCTTTAGCCCAGGATGTGGGAGACCTGGGCTCATATCCCCCCCCCCCACTGCCTGATGTGGAGGAGGAAATTAAGGTCCCCCACCCCTCAGACGAGTGCCTCAAATGTATACATAATTATCTATCCACTGGAGCAGGGGGACTGAAACCTGGACCTCTGACAACAGTGCCCTAATAGAGTCCCACAGACCCCAATGAATAGTTAGTATTTATATATAGTGGAAGTGTGTCCACTGGAGAGACTCAGCAAGCCTTGTTCTTGGCTACCCGATAGCCCAGTGGTTAGGGCAGTCCTCTGGGAGGTAGGAGACAAGTTCAAATCTCTGCTCCATATGAAGCAGAGGGGGGATTTGAACCCAGCTTTCCCTCATCCTGGGTCTGTGCTCTAACCACTGAACGTAAGGGGACACCTCCTTCTCCAGTGTCCTCTCAGCATGCCTATTGCATCAGGCCTTGGAGGCAAGATCCGTGAGAAATGCCTAGTTGCAAATCCCACTGGGGCTTAGGTGTGAGGTAGGTGCTGACCTGCTGGGAGATGTCAGGAATGAGGTGGCTCCGTGAAGGACCAGCTGCTGAAATGGAGGTGCCTTGGGGACTTTAAAGGTGGGAAATTGGTGCCTACAGGCCAGTGGCAACTAAATGTTGGATGGAGATGCCTAAAGTGAGTTAGGCACTTAAATCACGCTTAAGAATCGCACCCATTGCACCTAATCCACCCTCCCGCTCTGAGGTCTACGTTGTGCTGGGCATGCCTGGAAAACATTCATCGTGCAGAACAGACTGAACCTAGTGCCCTCATGCAGCATTGGCCTCAAAACTCCTCTGATTTCAGATGTGTCTTTTTATTAATGCACAGCAACCTGAATCCTTGGAGGGGGGAAACCTGATGGCTAGTGACTTCAGCAGAAATATTTCCTTCTACTCTAACTGAGCAGACAGATTAATGTCCATGTTGGGATATCTCAAAGGGAAGAGAAACACTTACTTGGTGTAAAATGCCACAAACTTCAGTTCATCTAAATCACCTTGAAAGACGACATCATCAAATCCTTCCCCATGGCCTGAAAAACAGGGGAAATGTCAAAGCAGTGCAGGAGACAGGATTCTGCTCCCTTTGCCCTGGTTCCACATTACACAATCTTATGTGCACACAGATACACACACAGGCAAGCACCTACGGATGTAGACACCCCCCACCCCTTTGTGTGGCACTGCTCTGGATTATAACACATGCCATACGGCGGTGGTCTGTCTTACAGCCACAACCTCTTTTTGAACGACAGTCTACAAACCATACACACCATGTGCTGGAGTTGGTGTGACAGTCCTAAAATCCCAGCATTCTTTGCTCAGCCATCTCCCAAATGATTCAATCATAGTGCTATGGGAAGCCACAGTCTGTCCACTAAGAGCTAGAGTCAGTAAGGAATTAAGTGCATAAGTGTCACTTTAGGTGCCTAAATCCCAGAATCTGGCCCCACTGGGATTCACACAACCACTGCTCAGCCGCCACCAAACCCTGTAGGCTCCTAAAATTGCTCAGTACCCATGTTTCTGCCTCTGGGCATGTGCACTGCAGCACCATGCTGGGTATTCAGGGAGAAGGAAGAAGACCTCCCCCATAACTTTTAGCCCAGTGGTGAGGGTACTCAGCATGTCTATAGGAGACCCTCAGTTCAAGTCACCCCCTATGCCTGTGGGTGGGAGCAAGGAATTGAACAGGGATCTGCCACCTCTCAGGTGAGCGCCTATCACTGTGGTATGGGATAGTTGGATGTGGGGCTCCCTCAGTGTCTCCTGTTGAAGCTGTTGCACTGAGGACAAACAAGGAAAGAGTCACTGGGACAGAGGGAGTGTGTGTTTTTTGGATAAGATCCTTGCCAAATTCCAGACAGCACTCACAAGCCCCTGTTTGTTCTCTGAGTGAGATTGGCCACATATTTCTTGACTGCCTAACTTTTTGCTGGGTTGGGAAAAAACTGGCTGTTCTGAAATCTCACCAGAACAGACTGGGAGGGTAGAGGGACTTTTCGGTTGATTTGGTGTGTTAATATTTTGAGTGAATGTGGTGATGACGATGCTTTAGTGATCCATGTGTAATGTTTGCTTAAGACACATTTTGCTTTCATATTCATCGTTTGGTGTATATATTGCAATTTTATAACACTTCTAAATCGTTTTAATGTAATTTTATGTGAATAAAGCTGTTTTTCATTTCTCTCTCTCTGTCTCTCCCTGGACCAGTGATTGGTTCATTAATTATCCACAGAAGCAGCTAGTCCCTCCTGCCACTTGCGCTGCTCACGCTACATGTCTATTTTTAGCACACTAACACTCATCAAGCTAGCACAAGTATGTCTAGCTGGAAATGCCACCTTCCAGCACCAGCACAGATGTACCCTGACTGATGCAGGAGGCACTGGAGGTTCAGAATAAGGTTATGAGCATAAGGATCTCAGCGGAATAAACCAACAATATCAGGTGACTAAAGAGAGAAGGCATAGCTGAGAGAGAACATAGCAAAGAAACTGACTTCTTGATCTGAAGGCCAGTTCTATTCTAGCCTTGGTGTACTTCAGAGAGGCCTTGGGGCTCCTCTAACCTATACTTGCTGACTCTGGCTCCAACTGGCCAGTACATGAGCGAAGAACGGCCAGAGCAAAGTAGCACATTGGTCCCCTATGCTAGAGGCTGCAGGGGGTGGTGAAGGAGCCAGCTAGCTATTCTAGCTCTATCTCTGCTGGGGATTGCTTCACAGTGAGGGAAATTCAGTGGCTTTCTAGCCCCCTTGTTGAGGCTAAATGGGAAGAAGAAGAGACTCAAACCCAGAAGTGATGTCCAGATTAGCACAGTGGTTATCTTCCCTATTTGGACGGGCTCGGACCTCTCACCAGTAGAATCTATTGCCAAGCCATTGAACAGGCAAATTTACCTTCACGTGTTATTCAGATGTTTTAGAATGGGCTTACCCAGTGCTATGTGTGCAGGTATGAAATATACAAACGATGTGGTAACTCAGGCTGGCATTTTGAATTCATGCACAATATGGGTCCCAGGAAAACTTCACATTATAAATACATTTTCCATGATGAAAAAAAAAAAAGAAAACAAATCTCTTGTATCATCTGACCTGGAACCACAGAAACTGAAACGCCTCAATCGTCAGGATCATATATGATTATTTTAACTTGTTTGGAATTCTTTTAAATTAAACCTTAACTCTGAATGTTGTGGCTTTATAATGCTTCTTTTGGACAACACTGCCGTCATGTATTTCACTTGAAATATGCACTCTTCACTTTAACTCCCTGTTAGCATAGTTTTTGTCTGGGAATTCTCTCAGAACTCCTCATGTTCACACATCAGCAGTGCCAGCCATGGGCGCCCACGGGAAAAAAAATAGCAGGTGCTCAGCACCGATCAGCTGTTCAGCGGCTGGTGGGAGGCACTTGGGGAAAGGGGCGGAGCAGGGGCGGGAAGAGACAGGGCGAGGGCAGGGCCTCGGGGGTGAATTGGGGGCGGGGCCTCGGGATGGAGCGGGGGTGAAGCACCCACCAGGAAAAATAAAACTCAGCGTCTGTAATACCAGTCATCACAGTCCAGCTACCTCACCCCTCAGCTTGGTTACCCTCACACCCTCATTGGGTCCAGGTGCCATGTCCAGTTCAGGCACTGCCCCCTGAAAGAGTTTCGGGCATTGCCCCTCCCCCGAGTCAGATTCAGCTGTCACCCATCACCCCTAGCCAGGTTTAGGGATTGCCCCTACGCCTCAGCCAGGGACAGGCATCTCCTCCCCACTGAAGGTCGGGCCCTGCCCCCAGTCAGGTTCAGCACTGCACCCTCAAAGCCATCTCCCGTTTGTAAATCTTGGGACGCTGGGGTCTCCTCCTGTTCCCACAGTAGCACGTGTGGCATTTTTTCCTAAAGCGCAGACATCGGTCGCTGGTGAGACCCCTCCAGGGAGCTGGGTGTTATCCCCCCAAGACTTCTCTAAGGCTTCTGTCCGGTTCAAGAGGCTGCCTTGCTCCTCAGGCTCACATTAATATGTCTGACCTGCATATCGTATGCTCTTCCCAAACACAGCCGTCCATAGATACGGGACCGTGTTGATCTCCATGCCATGGGCCAGCATGTTCAGAGCTGCTATGCGGCCTGGAAAACCGAAGAAACAGGGTGTAAGAAAGGAAATCGTGTGGGAGTCTTGTCACATGCTCTGGGCCTCGGCAGGCCCAGAGTACTCGGATTGCACCCAGGGCTTTGGGATGGTTTAGAGCCTTTTGCTACCAATTGCTCTAATCACAGTTTAAGTGGAGTCTAAGGCCTGGTCTACAATATGCGGTTATTTTGGAATTAGCTGAGTTACCTTGAAATAAAACTGGTTCCGTCCACACGACCAAACCAGTTTTTTCGATTTAAAGGGCTCTTTACCCCGATTTGTGTACTCCACCTCGGCAAGTGGAGTAGCTCTAAAATTGAGATCACAGTTCCCGGTACTGTGGACGCAAATCAACGATATTGGCCTCCGGGAGAGATCCCAGAATGCTCCCTTGTGACCGCTCTGGACAACACTCTGAACTGCGATGCACTAGCCAGGTAGGCAGTAAAAGCCCTGGGAACTTTTGAATTTCCTGTTTGGTCACCATCAGTACAGGTGACCATCAGCACAGTCCACCATCACAGGAGACCTTTCACCTTAGACTAAAAAACTCCCATCAGACAACCAAGCAGAGGGACGACAGCAGAAGTTACATGAACCACAATGCTAGCAAGGTCATGGTGAAGCCCCTCAGTTACCTGCCTTCAAAGGAAGGCTGTGTGGCTCTTGTTCACATATAGACCCTTAATCTGCACGTTTAGAGGGTGCCCTCCCACCTCCAAGAAGACTGGCTATCAGTAAGGATAAGATTATGTCACAGAGGTCACAGATTCCATGACTTTCAGAGACCTCCCAGACGTTTTCTGCTTCAACCCCAGGATGGCAGGGCCAGAGTTCTCAGCTGCCATGGGGGGGCCCCAGAGCTCTCAGCTGCCTCAGCGGGACTTGGAGATCCGAGCCACCGCAGATGGTGGGGCCCCAGAGCTCTGAGCTGCTGAGGTTGTGGCAGAGGGATCTGAAGCTGTTGGCAGTGGCAGGTGCTGGACTTCCCCCTTCCTCCTGCAACAGATCTCAGGCTCTCTTCCCCTTCCTCCCCACCCCCCACTTGGGCATCAGTCAGTTCCCTGTCAACACCCCCCGACTCCATTATTTTTAGTAAAAGTCACAGACAGGCCACAGGCTTCCACGCCTGGCACCTTTCACAGATATTGAAAAATGAACAAGGAGAGAGGGGAAGAGGAGGGGCAGCAGAAGCAGCTGTTCTATCTCGGGGCCTCTCCTTCTGCCCCTCCACTCCCACGAACATGATACAGTTCTGTGGTGACCTAGAATCCTATTTTCGACGTCTCCGACTCAAGGAATATTTCCAAAATACCTCTGAACAACATACTAATCCACAGAGGTCTCCCTACCAACACTACAGAAAGAGGGATTCTAGGTGGACTCCTCCTGAAGGTCGAAACAGCAGACTGGACTTCTACATAGAGTGCTTCCGCCGACGTGCACGGGCTGAAATTGTGGAAAAGCAGCATCACTTGCCCCATAACCTCAGCCATGCGGAACGCAATGCCATCCACAGCCTCAGAAACAACTCTGACATCATAATCAAAAAGGCTGACAAAGGAGGTGCTGTTGTCATCATGAATAGGTCGGAATATGAACAAGAGGCTGCTCGGCAGCTCTCCAACACCACTTTCTACAAGCCATTACCCTATGATCCCACTGAGAGTTACCAAAAGCAACTACAGCATTTGCTCAAGAAACTTCCTGAAAAAGCACAAGATCAAATCCGCACAGACACACCCCTGGAACCCCGACCTGGGATATTCTATCTACTACCCAAGATCCATAAACCTGGAAATCCTGGGCGCCCCATCATCTCAGGCATTGGCACCCTGACAGCAGGATTGTCTGGCTATGTAGACTCCCTCCTCAGGCCCTACGCTACCAGCACTCCCAGCTACCTTCGAGACACCACTGACTTCCTGAGGAAACTTCAATCCATCGGTGATCTTCCTGATAACACCATCCTGGCCACTATGGATGTAGAAGCCCTCTACACCAACATTCCACACAAAGATGGACTACAAGCCGTCAGGAACACTATCCCCGATAATGTCACGGCTAACCTGGTGGCTGAACTTTGTGACTTTGTCCTTACCCATAACTATTTCACATTTGGGGACAATGTATACCTTCAGATCAGCGGCACTGCTATGGGTACCTGCATGGCCCCACAGTATGCCAACATTTTTATGGCTGATTTAGAACAACGCTTCCTCAGCTCTCGTCCCCTAAAGCCCCTACTCTACTTGCGCTATATTGACGACATCTTCATCATCTGGACCCATGGAAAAGAAGCCCTTAAGGAATTCCACCATGATTTCAACAATTTCCATCCCACCACCAACCTCAGCCTGGTCCAGTCCACACAAGAGATCCACTTCCTGGACACTACAGTGCTAATAAACAATGGTCACATAAACACCACCCTGTACCGGAAACCTATTGACCGCTATTCCTACCTGCATGCCTCCAGCTTTCACCCTGATCACACCACACGATCCATCGTCTACAGCCAAGCTCTGCGATACAACCGCATTTGCTCCAACCCCTCAGACAGAGACAAACACCTACAAGGTCTCTGTCAAGCTTTCTTACAAACTACAATACCCACCTGCGGAAGTAAAGAAACAGATTGATAGAGCCAGAAGAGTTCCCAGAAGTTACCTACTACAGGACAGGCCTAACAAAGAAAATAACAGAACGCCACTAGCCGTCACCTTCAGCCCCCAACTAAAACCCCTCCAACGCATTATTAAGGATCTACAACCTATCCTAAAGGATGACCCAACACTCTCACAAATCTTAGGAGACAGGCCAGTCCTTGCCTACAGATAGCCCCGCAACCTGAAGCAAATACTCACCAACAACCACATACCACACAACAGAACCACTAATCCAGGAACTTATCCTTGCAACAAAGCCCGTTGCCAATTGTGCCCACATATCTATTCAGGGGACACCATCACAGGGCCTAATAACATCAGCCACACTATCAGAGGCTCGTTCACCTGCACATCCACCAATGTGATATATGCCATCATGTGCCAGCAATGCCCCTCTGCCATTTACATTGGTCAAACTGGACAGTCTCTACGTAAAAGAATAAATGGACACAAATCAGATGTCAAGAATTATAACATTCATAAACCAGTCGGAGAACACTTCAATCTCTCTGGTCACGCAATCACAGACATGAAGGTCGCTATCTTAAAACAAAAAAACTTTCAAATCCAGACTCCAGCGAGAAACTGCTGAATTGGAATTCATTTGCAAATTGGATACTATTAATTTAGGCTTAAATAGAGACTGGGAGTGGCTAAGTCATTATGCAAGGTAGCCTGTTTCCCCTTGTTTTTTCCTACCCCCCCCCCCAGATGTTCTGGTTTAACTTGGATTTAAACTTGGAGAGTGGTCAGTTTGGATGAGCTATTACCAGCAGGAGAGTGAGTTTGTGTGTGTATGGGGGTGGGGTGAGAAAACCTAGATTTGTGCTGGAAATGGCCCACCTTGATTATCATGCACATTGTAGGGAGAGTGGTCACTTTGGATGAGCTATTACCAGCAGGATAGTGAGTTTGTGTGTGTGGTTTTTGGGAGGGGGGTGAGGGGGTGAGAGAACCTGGATTTGTGCAGGAAATGGCCCAACTTGATTATCATGCACATTGTGTAAAGAGTTGTCACTTTGGATGGGCTATCACCAGCAGGAGAGTGAATTTGTGGGGGGTGGAGGGTGAGAAAACCTGGATTTGTGCTGGAAATGGCCCAACCTGATGATCACTTTAGATAAGCTATTACCAGCAGGACAGTGGGGTGGGAGGAGGTATTGTTTCATATTCTCTGTGTGTATATAAAGTCTGCTGCAGTTTCCACGGTATGCATCCGATGAAGTGAGCTGTAGCTCACGAAAGCTCATGCTCAAATAAATTGGTTAGTCTCTAAGGTGCCACAAGTACTCCTTTTCTTTTTTCTCAAGAACAGAGACCTTTATGGGCAAAGTATCACTGCCCCTCCCCAAAATCTGTACTGGCACCATGGTGATTCAGGGCTTCATAGACTGAGAATGGCGTTGCTGTAGGTAAAGAAGAGCATGTTTTTAGTGCTGATGCTTGTTTATATCATGTAATGATATTCAAATCCTCAAAGCATGTTTAAAACAATGCTAACCAGAGAAATGTGTTCAAAAGGAAGGGTAACCTGGGTGATAGAACTCCAAAAACTGACCACTGGGGCACCTGGCTGGCAGACTGGCAGTGCCACGGTGGGAAGCATGAGAATGGGGGGCGGGGAAAAAAGCCTGATGCAGAAAGGAGAAAGAGGCTAGTCTGCAAGCGGGGAGATGACTGAGTCCTTCAACTTGACTGGGGGGAGGGGGCGGAGTTCCTTTTTTCTGGGTAAACTGTTGGACACTGAGAGAAGCCAAATGTCTAAGGCCAGAAGGTTAAGGACAATAAAGGTATTTTTAAATATATCGGGAAGAAGAGGAATTCTAGCAATGGTCTAGGCCACATCTGATTATGTTCAATATGGACAAAGAGAAGACAGTCGCAGCCAGAACTATCTAGACTTGGTGCTTGAAAATCGCTCATTTCCCAACACTGAGAACAATTATGAGCCAAACTGAATAAGAGGAAAAATGTGAATGAAAAATAGGAGTTTATTAGAGGGCCAAAAAGCCAGGATTCCACACTCAGGAAGGATGACTACTTGGGCTAAAACCCAACCTGGTTCCGTGGTGAAGTGAAATCAGCATTAGAAATAAAAAAGAAACAGAACTAATGGAAGAAAAGGGAAATACAAGGAAATCAATATCAGTTAGAGGCTATGAAGTGCAGAGAATTGATAAGGGAAGTGTCACAGGGTGGCTGACCCCCTTAAATGAAGCAGATCCGGTGCCCCTGTGCCAGTTTGGCCATTTAAGAGGATGAGGCAGTGCTGGAGGCTGTAAAGGAGCAGGGCAGCAGGGCCTTAGTGGGGAGACAGATCTGCTGAGTTGGGGTTACCAGCTTCATTCGGAAGAAGGCAGGTGAGAGCTACCAGTAACCAAGAGACTACAGGAGGTCCTCGTAGGAAGCAGAAGGTATTTACTGGGAGAAGGCTGAAGGCAGGAGCAATGAAAGTGGGTTTTGTTTGCTGCTCTCCCTGAGCCAGGGCTGGAGAGGGCGGAGGGCAGGAAGAGGAGTGGCAGCAGCAAAGAGAGGTGCCTGCTGGCTCTAAGCCAGAAAGCTGAAGGAGGAAGCAGGCTAGAGGCAGGGGAGCAGCAGAAGGGCTTGCAGCTGACATGCTAGAGAGCTGGACCCAGGGAACAGCGAGAGGGTTGGGGGAGTGAGGGATGCTCCCCTGCAGAGGACAATCTCGCAGCAAAGGGGTTGTGGGGTTCCCTCTGGGAAGAGCAGGGTTATGCTCCAGCTGGAAGGAATGGGGTGGCTGTCCTGGGAGAGGGCCAGAAGGGGACTGACAAGGAGCAGAGATGTTGGTGAAGACACTGCAGTATGAGTCCCAGCAGCGAGGTGAGGTTCCTGCTGGAAAGAGCAGGGTTTTAAGGACTACATGCACTGCAGTGATATGGACTATGTGGGGGACTTTCGATTATGGACTGATTTGCACTATGTTTTGATAATAAACTGGCCCCAAGGAGGGGTATTATTGAGGCAAGAAAGCTTGTGTGAAGTTACTGGGGACTCTTAAGGAAGGAAACTGAGGCAGGTGTGCCTGTCATGCCACAGCCTGCTGCAGGAGGGCGCTCCACGAAGGATTGTGCTATGGCAGGAAGCTAAAGGCATCACGGAAAAATTCCTGGCTTGCACAGCTAAGGTCTAGAGCTGTATCTGGGGGCCTAAAGAGGAAGGTGGGCACCTAGTCAGATTTACAAGCACTGCAATGGGAGTTAGGGACTCAACTAGGTTACGTGCTTTATTAAGTCCCACTAGGCACCTATTTGCATCAGTATGTGCCTAAATACCTTCAAATCTGAAAAAACACCCATTGGGTAAGGACTACTGGCCAATCTAAGACAAACAACCCATGAAGGAATAATGAGGGATAATACTGAACAGTCAAGTGAATGGTGAATAATAAATCCCCATTCCCCAACTGCCTCTCTATCTAGCCAGGTCTGGCTGGCCATCTTCAAGATGTGCTTGTCCCTAAGTAGTTCAGGAGCCCTAAAGCGAAGGGACTGAAATACACCCACCATGCATATGTGCCATCTGCCAGTGAGGGATGTTCACCTTCTTGTTGTTACGCAAGGCCAGTGGAAACATGACGGCATCACCAGCTGCAAAAACTCCTGGGGTGTTGGTCTGCATCATCTGAAAGGAAGCAAGGGGCCATTAGCACTGTAGTAGGGAGAGGGCCTGAAACATAAGCCCATGTATCAGAGACCTGAGGCCTGGGCTAAAGTAGTCAAAACTTTGCTGATATAAAGTTAAGTTGTGAGCAAGAGGCAGGCCAGCTGAGGGGGGAATGGAAAGTCCCGCCATACACTGAGCTGTAGGCATACCTGAGCTAGCTTTAACCTAGCAACCTAGATTAAATTACCCGGAACCCTGGATAATTACTCTCGGGGCTAGCCTGCTCTGAATCACGTGTTGCTGTGGCTTCCCTGTTCCAGTATCCGAGCTAGCTAGATTAAAGCTACCTTGTATATGTCTACTCAAGCTGTGATCACACCTTGTACATGCCATATAGGCATGTCCAATTACAATACTGATCAGCATGATAAGCAGGAGTCACAATACACCAGCTGCCTAACCATTGTCAAGTTTTTTGTAGGAATCACATTCATAGCAAAGAAGAGTTGTAAGGAGGCAGTTAGCATATAACACGCAGTTTGGAAATTCGGAGAGGGCAGTCATATACATACACCCTAAAAAATAGATTACAATTTTATTATGGTTTAATTTGGCTTCTGGTACCAGCTGCGGTAACTGTGAATCGCAAAGGCTCTTGCTGATTATACAAAGGAAACACAAAACAAAGTGCTTATTGGCAGTGTCTAAACCAGGCTTTCGTGTTGGGGAAAGGACAGGCTTGCGTCTTATCTTATCTGGCGTAGTTTGCTCGCACCTGATCTTCATGCCTTGAGCCATGTAAGTTCTCATTTGTCTGGACACACACTGTGTGTTCTGTGCCTCCCAGGGCTTCCAGAGAGAGGTTAATTAATACTTTAGTAGGCAAAAGCCATGAAAGGACAGTAAGGAGAGCAGGAAACGGGAGCTATGAAATATACACTTGTTTCTATTTCCTCTGTTTGGTCAAGGCTGAGGGTGTTTGGAGGTAGCACGCTCCTTGGGAGAGGAGAGGAAAGCAGCAGGATAGACTGTGTCCTTCTGTGTGAGATCCTGACCAAGGGAGTGATCAGCCATCTTGCTGGAAAGTAGTATGGCAAGAAGCTTACCTTGAACCAAAACTGTTATTTCGTTAAGTCTTAGGCTTTAGAAAGTGTTTTTAAAATGTTTAAGAAGCTTCATTTAAAATTAAATTAAAATGCAGAGCCCCCCCGACAGGTGGCCAGGACCTGGTCAGTGAGAGTGCCACTGAAAATCAGCTCGCATGCTGCCTTCGGCACACGTGCCATAGGTTGCCCACCCCTGTTCTAGAGGGTGACCACTGCAGAATCATATTGTTATTGTGGGTTATACATGCATCTGATTTGGCAGGCTGCTTTTTGAAGACTGTGTGGCAAAGTGGATGAGAGTTGGCTTGGTCCTATGAGAGACATAGACCCAGGTCCTCAAAGGTGTTTCCCATTGAAGTTGATGGGAGTTAGAAGTCTAAATACTTTAGAGGAACTGGGTCCTGGGTTCTATCCTGGCTCTGTGAAATGGGTGCATTCGAGTCAGCCTCCAAGGCTACAGTAACACAGTGAGGGTTCTGCATGGCACAGAAACATTAATAGCAGTTAGTGTATGTTCTGTGAGTAGACCTCTTGGTTACTGGGTGTGTACTTTTGTGCAACTGCCAATACACTCCAGGAATTTGTGAGAAGGGATGGGAGCTCTCCCTCTCTATTTTTTGCTCATTTTGCGTCCCCAGAATCATTTGATGTCTCAAGCTTTTCACATCCTCATGGGACAGTCCACAGCAGGGGCCAAAATCGCATCCTCTCACGCAATTTTATTGTGAGTCAATAATCATAAGAATCTATTAATCTTAAACCACTCACTTTGGGGCTACTCAAGAATCCCTTAGCTAAATGACCCCATATTTATCCCACATAGTCTAACCATGTCCTTAGTGAGCTACAGCAATTTTCAAGATACTCTAAAATATACATGTGTAGGCAGATTACTTTGAAAATTTGGCTCTAAACAGCTACTGCACTACAACCTTAACTCTGGATTTGCTCCCACTCCTCCGCTATATGGCTGTCTCCACACCTACCATCAGAGCCTGCGTAGGGCCTTGCAACAGTCAGTGCTTTGACAGTATTTACCTTGTTGACGACAATGAAGCCTTTGGAATCCATGTTAATGCCGCTCTGCTTCAGAAATCCTGTTGCTGGACTTGCACCTGCCAGAAAGTCAAAGGACGTGGTGTGAGTGGGTCTGACTCCCAAACACTGGCTCTCTCATGAAAACAGATGTCAGAGCGAGAAAGGACCTGCTAACACCAGCAATCACTCTCCTGCCAATGTCAGCTCAGTTCCATGATACCAGGTGCTGCTCAGTTAACATCTTCTGTTGGGTCCCACAAATGCAGCTGTGCTTGGTGCCAGAGGGGGCAGCAAATGAATAATTGACAGGGGGATTCAGAGCCTTGTTGGCCAAGTTCAAAGGATGGGGAGGATTTGGCAGAAGCGAAAGTACAGTGGAAATGCACAGACCTAGGGATAAACTAATTAGAATATGTACAACTTGTGCAGCTGCATTTGGAAACCAGGTAACTCTGTTCTTATCAGATGGCACATGGAGAGTGCTCCTTCTGTCCCTGTTTGCCCTCCTCCGCAGTACTGTCCTTCCCTTCCAGACTCCTGTGCTCCAATTAACTCACCCCACTCCCACTCAATATACAAATTTTAAAAAATATCAGAACAATTTCCTTCGAAAAGTGGAGCTAACACACTGATTGCCACCCATCCGTGGTGATCACTGTGCCTGTAGACTATCCCTGCCCCTCTAACCTTTGCCTGGCTTGTACGTTCAAGCCCCCATCCTGCAACGAGTTCCACATGGGCAGAGGGGTCACCTTCATGGAGTGCACCTGCAGGACTGAGGCTTTGTCCAGGAGGAGAGCACAAGGAGGTGGCATAGCTCCCTGAACCCGAAGCATGGCCATAAACAGAGCACCTAAAGTGCCGGCCATGATTTTTAATCTTAAAATGTTTTTGGTTGTAGCTTTTTAAAATATCGATACAAAATGCAAATAAAAGAGGGGAAATAAAAGCTACGCCGTCTAGACTGCCTAATTTGTACAAAATGATGCACAAGTACATTATGTCAATATTACTGCCTAGTTAAATGAGAGAAGGGTTTTGTGGGAGTCCTAGAACAGCGGTCAGGGGGTCTTGTTATGGAAAAGTTTGAGAACTACCAAGTATTGGACTCCACATACTACACAATGAATATTATCATGTTTTAATGCACTTCAAGTTTAAAATTCATAAGGGTGTTGAATTGGGGGAGTCTTATCAATGCTTGAGAATAGTTTTAGTCTGTTTCTCTATCTACCACAAATATTTCAAAAGTGATGGTATCTAAGCACCAAACAATCATTAAAATGGCAGGTTTCAGAGTAGCAGCCGTGTTAGTCTATATTTGCAAAAAGAAAAGAATCATAGAATAACAGAGTTGGAAGGGACCTCTGGAGGCCATCTAGTCCAACCCCCTGCCCAGAGCAGGACCAATCCCAACTAAATCATCCCAGCCAGGGCTTTGTCAAGCTTGACCTTAAAAACTTCTAAGGAAGGGTTTCAGAGTAACAGCCGTGTTAGTCTGTATTCGCAAAAAGAAAAGGAGTACTTGTGGCACCTTAGAGACTAACCAATTTATTTGAGCATAAGCTTTCGTGAGCTACAGCTCACTTCATCGATGAAGTGAGCTGTAGCTCACGAAAGCTTATGCTCAAATAAATTGGTTAGTCTCTAAGGTGCCACAAGTACTCCTTTTCTTTTTTCTAAGGAAGGGGATTCCACCACCTCCCTAGGTAACGCATTCCAGTGTTTCACCACCCTCCTAGTGAAAAATTTTTTCCTAATATCCAACCTAAACCTCACCCACCGCAACTTAAGACCATTACTCCTTGTCCTGTCATCTGCTATCTCTGAGAATAGTCTAGATCCATCCTCTTTGGATCCACCTTTGAGGTAGTTAAAAGCAGCAATCAAATCCCCCCTCATTCTTCTCTTCCGTAGACTAAACAATCCCAGTTCCCTCAGCCTCTCCTCATAACTCATGTGTTCCAGTCCCCTAATCATTTTTGTTGCCCTTCGCTGGACTCTCTCCAATTTATCCACATCCTTCTTGTAGTGTGGGGCCCAAAACTGGACACAGTACTCCAGATGAGGCCTCACCAATGTCGAATAGAGGGGAACGATCACGTCCCTCGATCTGCTGGCAATGCCCCTACTTATACACCCCAAAATGCCATTGGCCTTCTTGGCAACAAGAGCACACTGTTGACTCATATCCAGCTTCTTGTCCACTGTCACCCCTAGGTCCTTCTCTGCAGAACTGCTTCCTAGCCATTCGGTCCCTAGTCTGTCGCGGTGCATTGGATTCTTCTGTCCTAAGTGCAGGACTCTGCACTTGTCCTTGTTGAACCTCATCAGATTTCTTTTGGCCCAATCCTCCAATTTGTCTAAGTCCCTCTGCATCCTATCCCTACCCTCCAGCGTATCTACCACTCCTCCCAGTTTAGTGTCATCTGCAAACTTGCTGAGGGTGCAATCCACACCATCCTCCAGATCATTAATGAAGATATTGAACAAAACCGGCCCCAGGACCGACCCTTGGGGCACTCCGCTAGATACCGGCTGCCAACTAGACATGGAACCATTGATCACTACCCGTTGAGCCTGACAATCTAGCCATATTTCTACCCACCTTGTAGTGCATCCATCCAGCCCATACTTCTTTAACTTGCTGACAAGAATACTGTGGGAGACCGTGTCAAAAGCTTTGCTAAAGTCGAGGAATAACACGTCCACTGCTTTCCCTTCATCCACAGAACCAGTAATCTCATCATAGAAGGCAATTAGATTAGTCAGGCACGACTTTCCCTGGGTGAATCCATGCTGACTGTTCCTGATCACTTTCCTCTCCTCTAAGTGCTTCAGAATTGATTCCTTGAGGACATGCTCCATGATTTTTCCGGGGACTGAGGTGAGGCTGACTGGCCTGTAGTTCCCAGGATCATCCTTCTTCCCTTTTTTAAAGATGGGCACTACATTAGCCTTTTTCCAGTCTTCTGGGACTACCCCCGATCGCCATGAGTTTTCAAAGATAATAGCCAATGGCTCTGCAATCACATCCGCCAATTCCTTTAGCACTCTCGGATGCAACATATCTGGCCCCATGGACTTGTGCACATCCAGTTTTTCTAAATACTCCCGAACCACTTCTTCCTTCACAGAGGGCTGGCCACCTCCTCCCCATGATGTGCTGCTCAGTGCAGCAGTCTGGGAGCTGACCTTGTTCGTGAAGACAGAGGCAAAAAAAGCATTGAGTACATTAGCTTTTTCCACATCCTCTGTCACTAGGTTGCCTCCCTCATTCAGTAAGGGGCCCACACTTTCCTTGGAGTACTTGTGGCACCTTAGAGACTAACCAATTTATTTGAGCATAAGCTTTCATAAGCTACAGCTCACTTCATCGGATGCATAAAGTGGAAAGTACAGTGAGGAGATTTTATATACACACAGACCATGAAAAAATATACATTGTAAGGAGAGTGATCACTTAAGATGAGCTATTACCAACAGGAGAGTGGGGTGGCGGGAGAGAAAACCTTTTGAAGTGATAATCAAGGTGGCCATTTCCAGCACATTTCCAGGAATTAACAAGAACGTCTGAGGAACAGTGAGGGGGAGGGAGGGAAGGGAGGAATAAACAAGGGGAAATAGTTTCACTTAGTATAATGACTCAACCACTCCCAGTTTCTATTCAAGCCTAAGTTAATTGTATCCAATTTGCAAATTAAATTCCAATTCAGCAGTTTCTCGTTGGAGTCTGTTTTCCAAGTTTTTTTGTTGAAGGATAGTCACTTTGAGGTCAGAAATCGAGTGACCAGAGAGATTGAAGTGTTCTCCGACTGGTTTATGAATGTTATAATTCTTGACATCTGATTTGCGTCCATTTATTCTTTTACGTAGAGACTGTGCAGTTTGACCAATGTACATGGCAGAGGGGCATTACTGGCACATGATGGTATCATATTGGTAGATGTGCAGGTGAACGAGCCTCTGATAGTGTGGCTGATGTGATTAGGCCCTATGGTGGTGTTCCCTGAATAGATATGTGGGCACAACTGGCAACGGGCTTTGTTGCAAGGATAGGTTCCTGGGTTAGTGGTTCTGTTGTGTGGTGTGTGGTTGCTGGTGAGTATTTGCTTCAGGTTGGGGGGCCGTCTATAAGCAAGGACTGTCCTGTCTTCCAAGATTTGTGAGAGTGATGGGTCGTCCTTCAGGATATGTTGTAGATCCTTGATAATGCATTGGAGAGGTTTTAGTTGGGGGCTGAAGGTGATGGCTAGTGGCGTTCTGTTATTTTCTTTGTTGGGCCTGTCCTGTAGTAGGTGACTTCTGGCTCTGTCAATCTGTTTCTTCACTTCAGCAGGCGGGTATTGTAGTTGTAATAATGCTTGATAGAGATCTTGTAGGTGTTTGTCTCTGTCTGAGTGGTTGGAGCAAATGTGGTTGTATCGTAGAGCTCGGCTGTAGACAATAGATCATGTGGTGTGGTCTGGGTGAAAGCTGGAGGCATGTAGGTAGGAATAGCGGTCAGTAGGTTTCCGGTATAGGGTGGTGTTTATGTGACCATCGCTTATTAGCACTGTAGTGTCCAGGAAGTGGATCTCTTGTGTGGACTGGTCCAGGCTGAGGTTGGTGGTGGGATGGAAAATGTTGAAATCATGGTGGAATTCCTCAAGGGCTTCTTTTCCATGAGTCCAGATGATGAAGATGTCATCAATATAGCACAAGCAGAGTAGAGGCATTAGGGGACAAGAGCTGATGAAGTGTTGTTCTAAGTCAGCCATAAAAACGTTGGCATACTGTGTGGCCATGCGGGTACTCATAGCAGTGCCACTGATTTGAAGGTATACATTGTCCCCAAACGTGAAATAGTTATGGGTGAGGACAAAGTCACAAAGTTCAGCCACCAGGTTTGCCGTGACATTATCGGGGATAGTGTTCCTGATGGCTTGTAGTCCATCTTTGTGTGGAATGTTGGTGTAGAGGGCTTCTACATAGTAGTCAGGATGGTGTTTTCAGGAAGATCACTGATGGATTGTAGTTTCCTCAGGAAGTCAGTGGTGTCTTGAAGACAGTTGGGAGTGCTGGTAGCGTAGGGCCTGAGGAGGGAGCCTACATAGCCAGACAATCCTGCTGTCAGGGTGCCAATGCCTGAGATGATGGGGCACCCAGGATTTCCAGGTTTATGGATCTTGGGTAGCAGATAGAATACCCCAGGTCGGGGTTCCAGCCGTGTGTCTGTGTGGATTTGTTCTTGTGCTTTTTCAGGGAGTTTCTTGAGCAAATGCTGTGGTTTCTTTTGGTAACCCTCAGTGGGATCAGAGGGTAATGGCTTGTAGAAAGTGGTGTTGGAGAGCTGCCGAGCAGCCTCTTGTTCATATTCCGACCTATTCATGATGACAACAGCACCTCCTTTGTCAGCCTTTTTGATTATGATGTCAGAGTTGTTTCTGAGGCTGTGGATGGCGTTGTGTTCTGCACGGCTGAGGTTATGAGGCAAGTGATGCTGCTTTTCCACAATTTCAGCCCGTGCACGTCGGCGGAAGCACTCTATGTAAAAGTCTAGTCTGCTGTTTCGACCTTCAGGAGGAGTCCACTTAGAATCCTTCTTTTTGTAGTGTTGGTAGGAAGGTCTCTGTGGATTAGTATGTTGTTCAGAGGTGTGTTGGAAATATTCCTTGAGTCAGAGACGTCGAAAATAGGATTCTAGATCACCACAGAACTGTATCATGTTCGTGGGGGTGGAGGGACAGAAGGAGAGGCCCCGAGATAGGACAGATTCTTCTGCTGGGTTAAGAGTATAGTTGGATAGATTAACAATATTGCTGGGTGGGTTAAGGGAACCATTGCTGTGGCCCCTTGTGGCTTGTAGTAGTTTAGATAATTTAGTGTCCTTTTTCTTTTGTAGAGAAGCAAAATGTGTGTTGTAAATGGCTTGTCTAGTTTTAGTAAAGTCCAGCCACGAGGAAGTTTGTGTCGAAGGTTGTTTTTTTATGAGAGTATCCAGTTGCACAACCATGTTCAAAGAGGGCTCTCCTCTGTTTCTCTGCATTACAGATCGTTTTCCCCCTTCTTTTCTCCTTTTCCTCCCCCCATTTTCCTTTTTTCATTCTCACTTTTCAAAACTTCACCAACTTTGGAAAAGTCAACAGGCAGCAAAAAGGGAAATGGAAGGCTGTCACTTGGTGACTCTTCCAAAGCTCAAGATGGTTTGGAAAATTATAGAGAAGAAAAAGGGAAAAATACTCTACACAACATCCATTCTACCACATCAGACTGCAAAGAAAAAAAATGAATCAAATAAAAAGATCAATTTGAAATTAAATGAATGTTCTCCTGAAAACAAAAATCACATGAAAATGTTGAGGGAAACATCAAGTTACTATTACCTACCAAGGTTATAACAAGGGAGTTTGACACAGCAATTTCTCACTGTTCTCTTCACATCCCTTTGGCAAGGATCAATTAACCACCAGCTGAAAAGGTTCCCCTTGTTCGGGTGTTGATGGTGGATTTGATGGGTTGCAAAGGGCTGGACTCATTGACCCAGGAGGTCCCTACCAGTCTTATGTTCCTGTGATTCATGGCTACAATGTGGCACTCTTATAGTGTAGCTATCAGCATTCCCAGCCCAAGCGCTCGCCTCTATCTGGGGAAGCAGAAGCCACATTGCTGCCAAACGCTGAAGCTTTGCATGTTAGGGTTCATTTACCTATGCCGATGACACAGACATCTGCACGGAGGACTTTCCCACTCTTCAGGACAACTTCCTTAAGCTTTAGGGGACACAGATGAAACTCATGGTTACTTTAAGGACAAAAAAAAGAGCCTAGCAGTACCCAGCTGAGTTGGAATCTCACTCCAGTTCATGAAATAAGGGGAAATGACTCAATTATAATTCTGCTTCAATGAAGAGATCATCCTGCAGGATTCTCACTCTTGTCTCCCTATTGTAAACCCTGTAGCTATGCAGGATTCTTAGTCCCTAATGACACACAGTGGTAATGCATGATCTATGTCACACCAACCTCTCCTTTGGCTGGTGCTCACCAGCCATCCTAGATCCTAAATGCTGTCCAGACCCCCAGAATTGAAATCTCTCCACAGTAAAATCCAGTCACAAAAATACAGCGGGCTGAGATGTCTGTTGCCCTCACAGACATGCTGGTGGGTGTGATGAGAGAATGTGAATTTAATAGAACAGAAACGAGAAGAAACAATGAACCAGCAATGCAAGTCCGAACCCCACCTCTGACAGACAGACCTCTGGACATGCACACAAAGGGGGCCAAATTAGGACTGCACGGGCAACTTGATTTCTGGCATTGCTAACTTCTCTGTGCTTTTCTCATGCAGTATTTCATTAACGGATGGGCTAGGCACCCTGATTGCACAAAGGGCATTTGGGCCCTCTGAGTGATGTCACAGGATAAGCCCTGTCTCAGCAGTGTACAGTGTGGAATTACCAAAAACAGGAGAATCCCTCAGCCCATAATTACTGGAGGCTCGTAGTGATCGCTATATTTAATTTGAACCCAGTTCACTCCACAGGCTGGGAGGAGGTGGGGCTGGGGGGCATAGACTGGCCCTCTCCCCAGCTCTCTCCCCACTTTGGAGTCATAGATGCTCCTAGGATGCAGGTTGGGAATGGTTTCTGCACTCCTTTGAGCTCCTCACACTCTCCCTGTCCTTCCACACACTCATGCACAGGTCAGGTGCAGTCTGGCCCCCAGTCCCATTCCCTTAGCCCCACAATGCTCAGCTCCTGTGGAGCACCAGCCACTGTACCTTGCCCTCCTGCTCCCGCAGCTCAGACACTTCAGTCTGCATGTAGAACTTCACCCTGTTGTTTTCAAACATCTGTGCAACAAGAGAGAGACAAAAGTCCTTAAGCTCTGGAGCTACCACCAGCTTCTGGCTTCTCTGACTTTTCCTCCACAATCCCATTCCCTCCCTCTTGAGCTACAGCTCTCACCTTGGCTTGAGGGTGCACTGAAAACGGGCTCTCTGAGCATCTCTGCATCTCGCCTGCTCAGTGGGGTGTCATAATTTTGCAGTGTAGGAACACAAAATACTTGAGGATATTGCAATTAGGCCAATGGGGGAGGAGATGACTAATGTTTTCTTTTAGGTGTCAACCACCATGCATCACTTTATAGCATCAGAACACTGTATTCTCATTCATACATTAAATAAACCGAACACAATGATACGATTAACTGGTAGTGCCAGCAAGGAGGTAAGACGTACACAGCTGTCCTCCGCACAGCAGGAATCAGGGTCACTGACCTGCTTGCTTGATCCAAAACAATCCTCTAAGAGACTGGTAAGTCATAATCACCTTCATGAGAGCTTGGCCAACCTTCTCCCCAAAGAACTTCATGAAAGGCACTTCTTCCAGCTCAACCACAGACACAGAATGGGCCTTCTCTGTGAGGTAGGCTGCCACCTCCATCCCTGGGGAACAGAAGCAGGTCAGAGACAGCGCGCGCCACTCCCTGCACTTCAGTGAGGTCTCTGGAGCTGAATTCAAGAATCATAGAATCATAGAATATAAGGGTTGGAAGGGACCCCAGAAGGTCATCTAGTCCAACCCCCTGCTCGAAGCAGGACCAATTCCCAGTTAAATCATCCCAGCCAGGGCTTTGTCAAGCCTGACCTTAAAAACCTCTAAGGAAGGAGATTCTACCACCTCCCTAGGTAACGCATTCCAGTGTTTCACCACCCTCTTAGTGAAAAAGTTTTTCCTAATATCCAATCTAAACCTCCCCCACTGCAGCTTGAGACCATTACTCCTCGTTCTGTCATCTGATACCATTGAGAACAGTCTAGAGCCATCCTCTTTGGAACCCCCTTTCAGGTAGTTGAAAGCAGCTATCAAATCCCCCCTCATTCTTCTCTTCTGCAGGCTAAACAATCCCAGCTCCCTCAGCCTCTCCTCATAACTCATGTGTTCCAGACCCCTAATCATTTTTGTTGCCCTTCGCTGGACTCTCTCCAATTTATCCACATCCTTCTTGAAGTGTGGGGCCCAAAACTGGACACAGTACTCCAGATGAGTACTCCAAAGAGCTGTCAGGTGGTGGCTAGAGATGTGAGAACTTTCAATTCACCCTTTCAGGGCTGGGAACAGCTACTAAGGCATGAGCAGCTGCTTTTGGGCTCAGCAGAAGAATACACTGCAGATGGTATGAAGAACGTTTTCCGCTCGCTCAGTCTATTGTAAGCACTGGGGGCAGGGACCATCTTTTTGTTATACATGTGTAACGTCACCCCTTTCCTCCTAGCACAGTCAGGATTTGATCCTTACTGGGGTTTCTGGTATGACTGCAATTTGAGGACTATTGCTGGTATGAATAATGATAATTGTGGCTCAGCATGACCTGGTTTGCCTCAAGCAACCTGATTCCCTGTGATGGGAACTGGAATTGCTATTTTGGGATATTAAGTGTATTCATAGGTTGGGCAGAAACCAAACCTTCTGCTTGCCAAAGGGTTTCATAGTGATTGTTTTTGTTCTTCACCCCAAGACCAATTATTTATTTGTGAAATTCTTACAAGGAAGAAGCCACAAAAAGGATTTGAAGACTGAAGTGATGCACTGTAATATACTTAGTAAATGGTCATTGAAAACCATCACTGTTTGCAGTGGTGATGTAGACATGCTGGTCCTGGGATATGAGAGACAAGATGGGTGTGGTAACATCTTTTATTGGATCAACTTCTGTGGGCGAAATAGACAAGCTTTCAAACTCCACAAGCCTGAAGCAGAGCTCTGTGGAGAGTGAAAGTTCGTGTCTCTCACCCGCAGAAGTTGGTTCAATAAAAATATTACCACACCCACCTTGTCTCTCTCATTTAAAACCGTAACATTATGAATAGAAGAACTAGGAGGAGCATACACTCTGTGGCTGGGATCAAAGTCAAGCTTACTGAATTATACATTGCAAATAAGAGTCATTGTGAATTTAGCTCTTTTTTTCTAATCATGAATCAATCCCGATGTCTAGGAATGTGTTTGTTATTTGGAAGCACCGTTCAAATAGCCTGGCCAAGACATTTTCAACCTATCCGTTCTCTGTGAATTGTTCACTTTGACTATTTGCAGTTTGTGATTGGTCACCGAGGTTGCATGTTATAGTTTCTGCTTCCTGACTGGATGGATTACATCTTGAAACCAGGAAACTGACCCAAACAATAAGTATCCAATATGTGCATGCAGTCCATAGACTGGTCAGCCTAATTGTTCAGTCTTCTAGACAATTAATTAAATTAATTTACAAGTTGAGGTCAGGAGGGCTGTATCCTAGAAAGTATTATAAGAACCTGAATAAAATGGAAGGTTACCAATACAAGTAGACAATTGTGGCAATAGCCACAAATGAGTCATAAGAAGGGAATTTTTCATTTAAAGGATGTCATGTGGCTGCATACAAAAAATAAAACAGCCCAGAAAATTCACTAGCTTCATGAACTAGCTATATCTTTTAAGGATCTACAATAGATTATTCTGGCCAAAAAGATCACAAGAAAATTCAAGGGCTAGGCACAGGTCAAAAATAGGATTAATAGATGTTAAGGTCTGACCGCATGAATAACACATGACATCAAATTTCATCCAGTGATTCCTGCATCCAGTCTAATAACGTCTGACTGAGCTAGAGCAGATCTTTTAGAGAGACATATTGATTTAAAGATTTCAAGGGACAGAGACTCCACTACTTCCCTGGGTAAATTGTTCTAGTGGTTAATTAACCATGTGGAAAATGGGGAATTATAAAGAAAACTATAACATCTCAAAGGGAAAATTCTGCCCAAAGGCCCCTGAATGGGATTCTTGAGATGGTCTGCCCAAGACCAAATCTCACCAAGGAAAGAGGCCCCCACTATAACTGCATTCTTGCTGCTGGCCAGTTTCACTACCCGGTTGGCATCTTCAGGAGTTCGGATGTTGAAAACATTCTCAACTTCTTTGCCTTTACAGCTAAGAGCTTTGGGCCTGAAAAACACACATTTAGGAAAAGAATTTGTCAGGTTTCAATTGTGGTTTTCTTATCTGCATCCTTTCTGTTACTAAACATGTCTCTGCAAGTGCTGCACAGAGTGACTCAAGGAGCCAACACACTGTCTAATATAACTGCAAGTGATCTTCCGGCCGGGCACTCTGACACCGGCCACTACCCGCTGTTGCAGAGGTAGGTGTAAAATCTCCATAATAGAGGTGGCCACATAGGAAGTTTTCTGATCCCCAGCAGTTACTGATTGGCTGGTGATCTCAAGAAGGGGTTCTTTCTCTCATAAATGTTTGTCCCAAATCAGTTCCTCCATCTGTGCCAGTGACGAGGGGCCTGGTGCTGTGGGACGGGTCAGAGATTGTAGCCACAGTGCAGCAAAACAACAAATTGTACAGCAGAAGTGCTGAATCTGGTGGCATCTTGAAAAAAAATGTCAATTACTGCAGCTGCCCCAGGGACCCTGACTGAGATGAATGAGACAGTTCAAATATTTTAGAATTATTGTTGCAGGCTTTCTGCAGACTCAGGCATGGGACCCTGCCTCAGTGACAGCTGGTCCAGTTTTCAAGATTATCTCCAGTACCAAAAGAGCTGGAATCAAATGACCAACTAGAGAAATGAGAGATTCTGGGGCCCAATGCTGCAGCAATGCCTGTGTCATTATTCATACACAGCAGAACAGAGATTGAGAAAGAGACATCCCAAAACAGCCCCCAGACTGGTGATTTGGGCATTCCCCTTGGGAAGTCGGATGCCCACGTTCAAGTTCCTGTTCCACATCAAGAATTTGAGAACAGATTCATAGATACTAAGGTCAGAAGGGACCATTATGGTCATCTAGTCTGACCTCCTGCACAACGCAGGCCACAGAATCTCACCCACCCCTGCGAAAAACCTCTCACCTATGTCTGAGCTATTGAAGTCCTCAAATCGTGGTTTAAAGACTTCAAGGAGCAGAGAATCCTCCAGCAAGTGACCCGTGCCCCATGGTACAGAGGAGGGCGAAAAACCTCCAGGGCCTCTTCCAATCTGCCTGGGAGGAAAATTCCTTCCCGACCCCAAATATGGCGATCAGCTAAACCCTGAGCATGTGGGCAAGATTCACCAGCCAGATACTATGGAAAATTCTTTCCTGGGTACTCAGATCCCACCCCATCTAACATCCCATCACAGGCCATTAGGTCTATTTACCATGAACATATAAGGATCAATTAATTACCAAAATCATGTTATCCTATCATACCATCTCCTCCATAAACTTATTGAGTTTAATCTTAAAGCCAGATAGATCTTTTGCCCCCACTGCTTCCCTTGGAAGGCTATTCCAAAACTTCACTCCTCTGATGGTTAGAAACCTTCATCTAATTTCAAGTCTAAACTTCCCAATGACCAGTTTATATCCATTTGTTCTTGTGTCCCCGTATGCTCATGTGAGTGCTCTAATTGTTATTAGATTATTGACTCTAGGTTATTGACTCTATCTCTGTTTTTTCCATGAGAAAGGGCTGTTCTTGCTCAGCCACCTAGCACCAGGAGAAGGGTCACAGCTGCGAGTCCCCAGGGGAGAAAGACACTTTCCTCCAGCCTGAAGTTAGATGAAGGCATGTGTTTGGGCCCCTCCTCTGCATTTCTAATTGGCTAGCTCAGGAGGCTCCCCGTTCCACTTGCTGGGGTCTGCCAATCCCATTCTTAGGCCCCTAACTCTCCCCCTGCATTACATAGGGAGTCTGGGTACTGTGATACAGCAAGGCCAGAGGGCAGCAAAAGTGTAATAGAGGGGAAGTATGTAACCCCCAGGATGATCAGAGCCTTATTCCCTGTGGACTAAGGAGAGGTTACTACAGGTTAATCAGAGCCCCTGGAGCCACAGTAGCGTTGGCCATTTGCCACAGCACCTAACTCAGGTCTGAGGAGTCCGCTGGGTGGCAGGCAACTAAAAATTAGGCATTGCAATGCTCACCTCTGTGACATCTAAGTCTCTATGTGGATCTAGCCCTAAGGGATCTTAGGTAGATACGGGCTTAGATTACATCTGACAATAGGATTTAGGCTCTTACGTAACTTTGGTGCTTTTGAAAATTTTACCCAGGAGCTTATGTAAAAGGATTTTAAAAGTATTTTCAAACAATATATTAACATATAAACATTTGGGACTAGATTCCTGAAGAAACTTGGGCATGACAATGCCGAGTATCACCTGCCTAATTTTTAGGTGCCTGGAAAAAAATCACTGGGATTCACAAAGCCTGGGTTAGGTGTTATGACCCAACAGCCCCAGTTTGGCAACAGACTAGGGGTACAGAGTTACTACTCTGTAAGCCAAGACATACCCAGATGGGCATGCTTCCCCTACAATCACCATCTTCATGATGTTTCACCAAAGGAGGGGCATGTGGGGTCTCTGCTGAAAGCTAAGAACTTTCTGGTGGTCGTGGTTATTGCGGGATGTATTTATGGAAAATATTGTAAGAGTTATGTGGGGCCCAGTGAGCTGCGGGATAGTGTCACAGAGGTGGGAAAAGGGAAATCTACCCATGTCTGTGAATCTCAGGGGGCACAATCTTGACCACATATCTTGATGTGGATTGTCCCACTGTGCTATTATACAGACCTAATGCTATCATATGCTATGGTAATGCAAGGTTAATGTTGTACATTTAAATACTCACAAACCAGGAAATGTGAACATTAAGGACATACACACGAAAGGTAAGTCTACTAGTATGCCTTACAGTACAGGGCTAGATTCTGTATCATGACTTTCAGGCCCATAACATCTATTGGCAAGCCTCCATATCTTAGTCACTTCACTTTTATATTCCTGCTGTCTATGCACATTCAGATATAGAGCTGTTCAGAAAATGGAATTTCTGTCCCGGAAAAGTTCTGGTATTTCAACATTTGTTTTCATCCTGAAACAGGGTCCTCCTATTTCCAGGGTCAGAATTAGACCCTAACACACTCATAGGAGCAACCTTTACTCATGAAAGCAACAGAATAGTTAAGACTGAAACTGTGAAATAAGAAAAGGAGGACTTGTGGCACCTTAGAGACTAACAAATTTATTTCAGCATAAGCTTTCGTGAGCTACAGCTCACTTCATCGGACGCATTCAGTGGAAAATGCAGTGGGGAGATTTATATACACTGAGAACATGAAACAATGGGTGTTATCATACACACTGTAAGGAAAGTGATCACTTAAGATGAGCTAATACCAGCAGGAGAGCAGAGGGGGAGAGGTAAGAAAACCTTTTGTAGTGATAATCAAGGTGGGCCATTTCCAGCAGTTGACAAGAACGGCTGAGGAACAATGGGTGGTGGGGAATAAACATGCAGAAATAGTTTTACTTTGTGTAATGACTCAACCACTCCCAGTCTCTATTCCAGCCTAAGTTAATTGTATCCAGTTTGCAAATTAATTCCAATTCAGCAGTCTCTCATTGGAGTCTGTTTTTGAAGTCTTTTTGTTCTAATATTGCGACCTTTAGGTCTGTAATCGAGTTACCAGAGAGATTGAAGTGTTCTCTGACTGGTTTATGAATGTTATAATTCTTGACGTCTGATTTGTGTCCATTTATTCTTTTATGTAGAGACTGTCCAGTTTGACCAATGTACATGGCAGAGGGGCATTGCTGGCACATGATGGCATATATCACGTTGGTGGATGTGCAGGTGAACGCGCCGCTGGATGGATGTGGAGGTGAACAGTGTGGCTGATGTGCAGGTGGATGTGCAGGTGAACAGTGTGGCTGATGTGATTAGGCCCTATGATGGTGTCCCCTGAATAGATACGTGGACACAGTTGGCAATGGGCTTTGTTGCAAGGATAGGTTCCTGGGTTAGTGGTTCTGTTGTGAGGTATGTGGTTGCTGGTGAGTATATGCTTCAGGTTGGGGGGCTGTCTGTAAGCAAGGACTGTCCTGTCTCCCATGATCTGTGAGAGTGATGGGTCGTCCTTCAGGATAGGTTGTAGATCCTTGATGATGCGTTGGAGAGATTTTAGTTGGGGGCTGAAATGATGGCTAGTGGCGTTCTGTTATTTTCTTTGTTGGGCCTGTCCTGTAGTAGGTGACATCTGGGTACTCTTCCGGCTCTGTCAATCTGGCATTGGCACCCTGGACAGCAGGATTGTCTGGCTATGTAGACTCCCTCTTCAGGCCCTACGCTACCAGCACTCCCAGCTATCTTCGAGACACCACTGACTTCCTGAGGAAACTACAATCCGTCGGTGATCTTCCTGAAAACACCATCCTAGCCACTATGGATGTAGAAGCCCTCTTCACCAACATTCCACACAAAGATGGACTACAAGCCGTCAGGAACACTATCCCCGATAACGTCATGGCAAACCTGGTGGCTGAACTTTGTGACTTTGTCCTCACCCATAACTATTTCACTTTTGGGGACAATGTATACCTTCAAATCAGCGGCACTGCTGTGGGTACCCGCATGGCCGCACAGTATGCCAACGTTTTTATGGCTGACTTAGAACAACGCTTCATCAGCTCTCGTCCCCTAATGCCCCTACTCTACTTGCGCTACACTGATGACATCTTCATCATCTGGACCCAGGGAAAAGAAGCCCTTGAGGAATTCCACCATGATTTCAACAATTTGCATCCCACCATCAACCTCAGCCTGGACTAGTCCACACAAGAGATCCACTTCCTGGACACTACGGTGCTAATAAGTGATGGTCACATAAACACCACCCTATACCGGAAACCTACTGACCGCTATTCCTACCTACATGCCTCCAGCTTTCACCCTGACCACACCACACGATCCATTGTCTACAGCCAAGCTCTACAATACATTTGCTCCAACCCCTCAAACAGAGACAAACACCTACAAGATCTCTATCAAGCATTCTTACAACTACAATACCCACCTGCTGAAGTGAAGAAACAGATTGACAGAGCCAGAAGAGTTCCCAGAAGTCACCTACTACAGGACAGGCCTAACAAAGAAAATAACAGAACATGTGCCAGCAGTGCCCCTCTGCCATGTACATTGGTCAAACTGGACAGTCTCTACGTAAAAGACTAAATGGACACAAATCAGGTGTCAAGAATTATAACATTCATAAACCAGTCGGAGAACACTTCAATCTCTCTGGTCACTCGATTACAGACCTAAAAGTCATAATATTAGAACAAAAAGACTTCAAAAACAGACTCCAATGAGAGACTGCTGAATTGGAATTAATTTGCAAACTGGATACAATTAACTTAGGCTTGAACAGAGACTGGGAGTGGATGGGTCATTACACAAAGTAAAACTATTTCCCCATGTTTATCCCCCACCCCCTATTGTTCCTCAGCCGTTCTTGTCAACTGCTGGAAATGGCCCATCTTGATTATCACTACAAAAGGTTTTCTTTCACACACCCCTCCCCCCCCTCCCCGGCTCTCCAGCTAGTATTAGCTCATCTTAAGTGATCACTCTGGTTACAGTGTGTATGGTAACACCCATTGTTTCATGTTCTCTGTGTATATAAATCTCCCCACTGCATTTTCCACTGAATACATCTGATGAAGTGAGCTGTAGCTCATGAAAGCTCATGCTCAAATAAATTTGTTAGTCCCTAAGGTGCCACAAGTCCTCCTTTTCTTTTTGCGAATACAGACTAACAAGGCTGCTACTCTGAAACTGTGAAAAGAAATGCTAACCTGTATTATACTGTTTAGCCACTAGGGGGCTCCATCTGACATACCTTAAGCTCACAACAGCCATTCCTTCCTGGCAGTGCATTAAAGGATTTTATAGTGAACACATCTTGTGTGTCGTTCCTTGTGAAGGAAGGTTTGTAGATAGTCCATATCTGACACAGAAGCCTGACTTGCTAGTAGCAGTCAGGCTTGTACTGAGTACAAGGTCTACATGACATAAGCATCACAAGTAATCAAGTACCAGAGGAGAGCAGAAACAAAGGGCACAAAACAAAAGTTGTCAAATCTGATCACCATACCACTCTTCAATGCTCCAGAGAACTTTAGCTTTGATGGCGCTTCCACCAGGACCCTGGAGATATCCAGGTATAGTCTTTAATTTATGCTATGGGGAAACCATTAGAGCACATCTTTAAATCCTTTGACTTTACTGAAGAGTCACAATGATGACTATGAAAGAGAGTTTTGGCTATGTTTGATGCATACTTTATAACTCAGAAAAATGTGGTTTATGAAAGAGCAGGTTTTCACCAGAGAATTCAGGAACAAAGAGAAAATTCAAATCTTTTATAAAATCCCTGCATGCATTGGCTGAGAACTGATTTTGGGAATGCAAACCATGAAAGTATCAGAGATAGGCTGGTTACTGGGTTAACTGACAAGAACGTCTCACAGCAATCACAATTAAAGACAGACTTAAATCTACCCACAGCTATGTAGATAGTAAATCACTCTGAACTAGTCAAACAGCAGGAGCAACCTGAAAAACCTGAAACTTAGAAGTTGTAAACATGGACAACATGAATGCTAAAAAAACTAAGGAGTCTGGTAGCACCTTAAAGATGAACAGATTTATTTGGGCATAAGCTTTCGTGGGTGAAAAACCCACTTCTTCATGTGCATGAGGTGAAAATTACAAATACAGGGAGCCACCTAAGCTAGCCAATCGGAGATGTCAACCAGAGAGGTGTTTGAACCCCTACCTGCTCTGCTCATGATTTACCCACTGATACTTTGGTTACACTCATTTATTCATCATTCATAAATAACTTCTGTGAACATTTTAACCTGTGCATTGGTCATCAATTAGTACTTCAGTAGTCCCTATGTACAATTAACAACTTCTGCTGCCTAACTGGTAACATGATATTGGTTTTGCGTCCTGGTTGGATTGCTCCAAAACACAGTTTTCAGGTTTGGCTGCACAAACCTTTCCAGCCTGAATGGCTAGTCATGTGAACGTATATTCAGACCAGGATTCATAGATCCCCACTTTCCTTTTTCGCAAATATTCTTGCGAACAAAAATTCCCCATTCAAATGGTTAAGTCATGTTAGGTTGCTTGACCTAGATTCACAAAGGTGTTTTGAGGTGCCTAGAAAATCAAAGTCTGAGTTAGGCTCCCAGGCTTTGAATTGGGAGAGACAGATGCCTTAGACTGTGGTTCACAAAAGCTAACATGCTAGGCAGGGAGTTGACTAAGTTAGCCAATGGGAGATGCCAACCAGAGGGGTGTCCTAAGCCCCACCCCTCTCCTGGAGATAGATGTCTGAGTCGGGGCTGCTGGTGATTCTCAGCTATAAACTCTCTTTGGAGTTAGCTGCCTCAGGAATGTTGTAAAGAGGCAGACACTTCCTCATTGGGCTAGAGAGACAGACAGACAGACAGACTCACTCTCCTGATAGCTAGTATATCAACCAGGATGTGGGAAAGCCAGGGTCCCATCTCCCTGCACCACAGTGGCACAGCTTCAACAGGAGAGCGTTTGGGAGCCCCAAAAGAGAATAGCCCACACGCACCTGAGAGGTGGCAGATCCCTGTTCAAATTCCTTCTCATCAGGCTGGGGGGAGACTTGAGCTGCGGGGGGTCTCATATCCCAGGTGAATGCCCTAATCACTGGGCTAAGAGTTGGGGAGCTCCTCCTTCCCTGCCCCTCTCACGGGCTGTGTGCCAACTCACCTGAGGGGCACAATCTGGGAGGCATGCTCTGAGCACACCTGCCTGGCCGGGCCCTGGCCCCAAATAAGGGGGCCAAATGCTTATCTGCCCCCAGTTCATGAATTGCTCTGGGGCTCAGGTGGGAGATAGGCCTCCAGACACCTAGAGGGAGGCAACTTGTGCCTGCCCGGAGGCAGGAACATGCATCAAGGTAATTTTTTTTACTGGAAAAAAAATGTAGGTGCCTAGTGAGTTGAGGCACCTACAGGATTCAGTGGGAGTTTTGTGGGTCACAGTACAGCCGAAAAGTGGGATTTAGGCCCTAAATTTGGGAGTTGGATGCCCAAGAGCCTTTGTGAGTCTAGGCCTTTATCCCTAGGCACAAGCTCCTTAGGTTCTCCTAAGAGTAGGATGTGTCTTGGGGTGGATTATGTTTGTTCGTAGCTTACGTGTTTCCGGTTGCTATCAGCAGTTTGTTATAGTCCATCTTAAATCCGTCCTTGAACACGGCTGTCTTGTTCTTGGTGTCCACAGCTGCAACCTGCAATCATTCTAGATAACGTTACGGGGCAAAATCCGAGGTGCTTATTGAGATACCAAAGGGTTTAGCTCCAAGTGGAATAGCCCGGAAGGCGCGAGGGCAAAGGGCTGGTCTCATCTCAAGGCACACTGACAGCCTCGCCTGGTACTCTGGGCTGAGTTTTCCATGGATCACATTGTATTAGCTCATGCAACCAACTCATTCATTTGGACTAATCATTTTAGATTAATCGTGACTTAAATTTGTTGCTCAAAAAAATTAGGGAGAGATGCATAGTGCTGGTGAAAGCAGCGAAGGCTGAGACTGGAGGAGTTCTGGACAGAAGTCTCCAGGCAGCTCAGACAGACTTGCTTGCAGCGCTACTTGTTATTCCAGTCTTGGGCCCATTTCGAATGGGGCAGCTATAAAATGGGTGCTTGTTTCAGTGCTATTTGTCGTTCAACATTCAATTTTAATAGACATCGGCGGCCATGTCCGTGACAACCTATCATTCCTAATCCAACAGTTTGAGGAAATTACCATCCTTATTTTAAGTGTACCTATTTTCTGTGGCTAAAGACCTGTGCCTAGAGCGGTCTGTAGTATTGATTAGTGCACTGAGAAGGCACTGACAATAGGCTCTTCACCATTTTAGGGCCCTACCAAATTCATAGTCCATTTTGGTCAATTTCATGGTCACAGGGTTTTTTAATTCGTCAAGCTCACATTTTCAGATGTTCACATCCGAAATTTCATGGTGTTGTAATCGTGGGGGTCCTGATCCAAAAGGGAGCCATAAGGGTGGGGGGGGGGGTCACAAAGCTGTTGTAGGGGGGTTGGAGGATTGCCAACCTCACTTCTGTGTAGAAGTGAAGGCAGCAGTCCGGAGCTTCCTGCAGCCAGGGACAGTACCCAGAAGTGGGTCTGATCTCCTCCCCGAGAGCAGCCATTCAGGGGAAGAGGAAGTCCTGTCCCTGCCCAGCCCAGCTGGGACTAGTAGCTTGGACTGGAAAAACCAGCCCCATTGGTTTTGGTTTGGATTGGTTCTCAGGAGCAGGGGTCTTTACCCTAGGCCTCTCCCACAGCAGCCATTAAATCCTGCGCTGTCCTTGAAGAATCATCATCATCTGTGTGCACGTAAGGATACCAAGAGCAAAGAACCTTGACAATTCCAGTGTGACCACAGACAGGAACCTGGCCAGCTGTAACACTAGTCCTGCCTTAACCCCATCCCAGGTATGTCTCTGAAATCTCTCTCTCTCTCTGTCTGTCTCTCACACTCACACACACACACACACACACACACCATTGCAGCAGGAAATCTGCATATGAGGCAGCAGATGGAAGTGGCACAGCAGCACCACTTCCTTGAATGCCCCTTCTAGACTCATAGACACCAGGGCCATGAAGGGACCATGGTGATCATTAGTCTGACCCCTTTAGAACAGAGGCCAGAGAACTGCCCCCAAATAATTCCTAGTGCGGATCTTTTAGCAAAATAGCCAGTCTTGATTTTTCAAATGGTCAGTGATGGAGAATCCACCTTGACCCTTGGTCAGTTGTTCCTTACATGAACTACGTTGTCTATGATCAAGTGGCAGCTGAGCCAGCACCAGTCCTGCAGGGTCATGCAACCAGGTCTTTGTGATAAATGAAGAATCAGGGCTGCATCCTTAATTACACTGTGGATGGTGCGAACTCTATAAGCTACTGACCTCACATTAAACAGCATGAAGTGAAGAACAGGATTCCAACATGCTGAGAATTAATACAAGGAAAAAGCAATCGGTCTGAAGTTAGAGGTGAGCTGTCTGGGGTAGGGATTATTTGTCTTTTATACTTGTGTATACTTGGAACATTGCAACCCTGATCCTGGGCTGGAGCCTCAGAGTGCTGCTGTAATACGCATAAATAGAATAATAAAGATCCTGGCCCAGGTTTATGCCCAACATGCAGTTTGGTTTCCCTGTTTTGTCTCTTCTACCCAGTGCCGTGGGGAACGAGGAGTCCAAGCACCTCATGGGCCTTTTGGCACCCTGGCACTCAGCAGAGCTACGTCACTCGCTGACCATAGTAAGGTGGCCAGCAAAGGGGCGGGGAAAGGAAACGTGAACAGGTAGGAAGAAGGAGTCTGTAAAAACAACTTGATAAAAAGCAAGCAAGGCAATGATTAGAAAATCTAGATGTACAAGAGAGCCAGAATAAGTTGCCTCCAAGTGTATTAAGACAATAGTTAATGGCTTATTGCATCACTGACACTGACTCTGGAAAAACCACAAACAATTTAGGAGATCCTGAAAAACTGGCTCACAAAAGAAGGAATTTGGGTCCCTGTATGTCTAACTGGTATCCTTGGTAAAATAATACAACCAGTCTTGAGTGGTCTAAGTCAGGGCCCAGTTCCTATTGCTGGGTAATTCCTATTGCAATGCATGGAGCTGTAGTGCTCAGCACCGAACTTCTGTAGGGTGACAGCCATGAGCATGATCAGTGTGGGAACAGCCACAATGAGCGTCCATCTTGTAGCTATTTGCTAGCCAAGCTAACAGCAGCTTTGAACAGAGACATACAGCTGGGATCTTGTTATGAAGTGGGGGCTTTAATGCAGCTTTTGGTAATATTTCTGTAGAGGCAATTTGACAGTGCCAGCTAGCAAAGCTAGCTTTTTCTTTTACTAGCCACATGCAGTCTCTGTGTTCGATAAAGAACTTCCGAGATGTACACTGTATGCTATTTTGTATGACTGCACCATGCAAATCTTGTTCTCCTTACCTGTGTTTCAGTCAGGACCTCAATGTCATTTGTACGGAAGAATTCCTTAGGGCGCAAGGTGATCTGATCTAAGTGTGAATCCATTGACTGCAACAAAGAAGCAATTTTGCTGTCAATTATGCAGTTTACAGTAAAAAGAAAAGGAGTACTTGTGGCACCTTAGAGACTAACCAATTTATTTGAGCATGAGCTTTCGTGAGCTACAGCTCACTTCATCAGATGTATACCGTGGAAACTGCAGCAGACTTTATATACACACAGAGAATATGAAACAATACCTCCTCCCACCCCACTGTCCTGCTGGTAATAGCTTATCTAAAGTGATCATCAGGTGGGCCATTTCCAGCACAAATCCAGGTTTTCTCACCCTCCACCCCCCCACACAAATTCACTCTCCTGCTGGTGCTAGCCCATCCAAAGTGACAACTCTTTACATAATCAAGTCGGGCTATTTCCTGCATAAATCCAGGTTTTCTCACATCCCCCCCACCCCCATACACACACAAACTCACTCTCCTGCTGGTAATAGCTCATCTTCATCTTCTCAACTTCATCTAGTTTCATATTCTCTGTGTGTATATAAAGTCTGCTGCAGTTTCCACGGTATACATCTGATGAAGTGAGCTGTAGCTCACGAAAGCTCATGCTCAAATAAATTGGTTAGTCTCTAAGGTGCCACAAGTACTCCTTTTCTTTTTGCGAATACAGACTAACACGGCTGTTACTCTGAAACCAGCAGTTTACAGTGTGAGAGATGTTTGTAAATTCCCAGTTACATCCTTTATACATGTTCCCAGTACTTTTCAGTGATAGCCTGAAATCTGTCCTTGTAGTAACCTGGTACACAGGAAATCTGTGCAGGTGACCAGGGCTAAGGGCCTGAACCAAAACTCATTGAAGAAAATTGAAGGATCTCCATTGACTTGAATGGACTTGGTATTGGGCCTTAATTCCTTTTATATTAGCTCACACTGCAGTACAAGAATTGGCCTACTAAGAAAGACAGGAAGGGAAGGCTTTTGAATAGCTGTAAAGTGGAAGTTCAAAAGACATAACATGGAAGAGCACAGAGACAAACAAAGGGGCCAAGAAAAGGGTTACTTTTGGAAAGAGAATCAGTTATCCACCTGAGGGCAGAATTTTCAAGAGCAGCTAAGTTATTTAAGAGCAAATGTCCCAGCAAGAATCAAAACACAAGCTCTTATCTAGTTCTTTTTTTAACCTACTTATACTTTTGACCTTCACAACATCCCCTGGCAATGAGTTCCACAGGTAAATTGTGCATTGCATGAAAGAGTATTTCCTCCTGTTTGTATTAAACTTGATGCCTAGTAATTTCACTGGATTGTAGCCAATTAATTTGTAGACAGTGATACAAACATATATACACATAGGTAAGGAATAAGTATGAATTAAGGCAGTAATGCAAAAGCTTATATGTCCCAAGCCTGTAAGGCAATAACTTACAAACTGAGGCCAAAGGCTTAAAATCTGGACACAAGTAATTAACCTATACATGACCTTGTATTACAAGATGTCACAAGATAAAGTGATGTTATAAGTAAATGTTGCTAAATTGCTGAGAGTTGACAGCAAAATGCTAGTTTATACCAGCTTTAGATATTTTGAGTTATGAACATCAGCAGATATTCAACCACAAGAATACCATAGAAACTTATTGACATGTGGCCCGTTGGTGACTGCCAGTAGCAAAAATCCCCAATTGCTGGAGACGGGACACTAGATGTAGAGGGTTCTGAGTTACTACAGAGAATTCTTTCCCAGGTATCTGGCTGATGAGTCTTGCCCACATGCTCAGAGTCTAACTGATCACCATATTTGGGGTCTGGAAAGAATTTTCCCTCAGGCCAGATTGGCAGGGGCCCTGACAGTTTTTCGCCTTCGTTTGCAGCATGGGACACGGGTCACTTGCAGGTTTAAACTAGTGTAAATGGTGGATTCTCTCTAACTTGAAGCCTTTAAAGCATGATTTGAGGACTTCAGTAATTCAGCCAGAGGTTAGGGATCTATTACAGGAGTGGGTGGGTGAGGTTCTGTGGCCTGCAATGTGCAGGAGGTCAGACTAGATGATCATGATGGTCCCTTCTAACCTTAAAGTCTATAAGTCTATTTGATTTGTTCCTGCACAACATTTTGATTAAAAGACTAGAACAATATAAAATTAACAGGGCACATATTAAAGGAATTAAAAACTGGTAGCACAGGTCTCAAAATGTCATTGTAAATAGGGAATCATCACAGAATGGGTCTGTTTCTATTGGGGTTCTGCAGGGATCAGTTCTTGGCCCTATGCTATTTAACATTTGTATTAATAACCTGGAAGAAAACATACAATCATCACTGATAAAGTCTGCAGATGATACAAACATTGGAAAGCGGATAAATAATGAAGAGGACAGGTCACTGATACAGAGCGATCTGGATTGCTTGGGAAACCGAACGTAAGCAACCAGCATGTATTGTAAGACAGCTAATGTATAGATCTGGGAACAAAGCTTGCAGGCCATACTTACAGGATGTGGGACTCTATCCTGGGAAGCAGTGACTCACACAGACTTGGGGGTTGTGGTGGATAATCAACTGAACATGAATTCCCAGTGTGATGCTGTGGCCAAAAGAGCGAATGTAAGGGTGGCCCCAGCAGCCTAGGCAGCCATGGACTGTCCACCTGCCCAAAGTGGGGGGGCTCAAGAGCAGCAGATGGAGGCTCTGCGGCTCCCCACAGTTGCCCATGTGGCTCTTACCACAGCCTGGCTGTAGCTCTTCGGCCCCCAAGGTGCCACTCCCCCGGCCAGGCCAGAAGCTGGAGCCAGGTCAGGGTAAGAGCCATGCAGGCAGCTGTGGGGAGCTGTGGACCCTTTGCCCTAGGTGGAGGGTCTGCGGGGGCAGGGACATGGACTGTGGGGTGTTCTCAGCCCTCCCACCCCCACCCCAGGCAGGTGGAGGGGCCTAGGCTCCCTGGCTCTGCCCACAAGTCCAGAAGGATGTTGATAAATCGGAGAGGGTTCAGAGAAGAGCTGTGAGAATGATGAAAGGATTAGAAAACCTGCCTTCTAGTGACAACACCCTCCCGTCCCCCTCCTGGCTCTGACGGGGTGATGTCAGCAGAGCACACACACAAACCCTGCAGTGTCCTCTGCTTGGATCCTATTGGGTTATGGAGAGGTGGGCTGGCTAAGGGACCCTCCCCAAGCTTATGGGGAGGATCCACAGAGCCCGGAAAACTCACATAATTATGGGGGACAACAGAAAAAATAACAAGGATGGGTGTGAAGGTCAAAGGGTCAAAAAAAGGAAACCTGAAGGAAATACTGAGCAGAGAACCCTGGACAGCGCACACTGCTCCTCGAAGGTGTCAAGGGAGCCAACGGATGCTGCCCAGAGGAACTCTGCCCAGATGCATGAATGGAGGGAGGATTGGAAATAGGTCCCACAGTCACAGAGAACCCTCTCAGCCAACATCCTTTCCCTGGGGTTATAGACGGCCACCTTGGCCACCGCTAGGAAGAAGTTGACTGGGAGGTCCCATGACTTTGTGGGGCCATGACAGGGTGTGATATATAAGGAGGTGGGGGGAGAAGTGCAGCCAAAAACGTAAAAGGGGGTCCAGGAGGAGCCCAAAAAAGGGCTGCAACCTGGCACCCTCAAGATACACATGCTCCAGGATCTCCCTCACACCACAGAAGGGACAGGCTTTGGGGACAGGAGTGAACCGCGCCAAATCCACGCCCGTGCTCACAGCTTCGTGGAGGAGTCGCCAGCCAATATCCCTGGTGGGCCGTGGGACGAGGATGGAATATAGACTGGCCCACCGGGGTTCCTCACCCTCGACAGATGACATTGGGTCCCGCCACTTGGTATCAGGGCGGGACACGAGGGTGAGGAAACAGAGTATGGAGCACAAATGTGTACAGATGTGCCCTTGGTGTGGTTTGAAAGCCAAACGACTGCAGGTCACGCAGCTGGTTTCAGGCATCAGGGTGGGGTGGCAGGGGAGGCTCACGGGACAGGGGCCCGATGAAAAGATCCATAGGGCCCGGGGTGGGCGGGGAGCACTCTTCCTCAGGACCTGCTTGAGGTAAGCTCGAGAGGCGGGCGACAAGGCTGTCCTCACCTCCTGAAGTACGCACCGGGGAGTCAGAAGGGTGGAGAGCCCCATGAGTGAGCTGAGCTGAGCCTTTGCTTGGATGGGTGACAGGCTTTTAGGGATAGATCAGGTTTTGTCCCAGTGACTAATGCCAGCTCCAGAGGAGCAGAGTTAAGGTTCTGCCTGGGTGGGAGACATTTTTATCTCTGCGTTCTCTGGTTTCCAGAGGTTTAAATTTGTCTTCACTGATCTCTTTATTTCCTGCTTTCCAGAGATTAAACGTTACCCATCCTCCATGTTCTGGAAGGGTGTACCACTAACTCGCCCACTTTAGCTCTGTGTGAAAGAAATATGGAGGCAGTGACTATCATTCTTTTTTTAAAAAGAATTTATGTTTACAACCTTCACTTCATCATTGTAAAGATTTCTGCCTAAGAATATATTAAAGAATTAAAGGTAACAATATAGAGATTAAATCCAGTTCTCCCTGTATATGGATTTGCTTTGGGAATATTTACAATTTTCTCATTTTTATGCAGACAGTGCAGTACTATGATTGAAAGTTGAACATCAGGGTTTTGTATTTAATATCCTCAGTTGTTTGCAGAAAAGAAAATTCAAGCAAAAGAAGAAACAAGAGGTCAAAATGAAAGAAAGGTGCCAGTATATTTAGTTAAACAGGCATCACTGCAATAAATTCTGCTACTCCCGCTACAGCCATTTGGCTCGATCAACATCAGGTGAAAGTGTAGTTGCTGCTCTACCCCAGGCATATGAAAGACGAAGACGATTTAATAAAGTTGGGACAAGGCCCCCAGCCAAGCTTTTCTAAAACAGGTTATGTAACCTGAGACCTAGGTGACCTGATTGTGCAAAGTGCTGAGTAGCCAGTAACTCTCTCTGGTTTTAGTGGGAACTGAGAGCTACTCAGTACTTTTGAACATGAGGCCACTTATTTAGATACCTAACTATGGACTTAAGAACGGGACATAAAGCATGTACATTGGGAAATCTCGGCCCCAGCTTTCATCAGGCTCCTTCCATTATTGGTCTTAGATGATGATATGACTAGGTAAGAGGAGGGTTCACGGGTTTGCCTCCGAAAACACACACTGAAAAGGTGACAAGCTCCAGAAGTCCCTAGAATTAATTTTATCGACAGTGCCTCAGTGCAATAAAAGGACAAGCTGGCAAAGTTTCTAGCAACTGGGACACCCACTGTCTAGTGAGAGAAACATGAATATAGAATACATGAAATAAGAATATGAAACATTCTGGATGATACAAACCTTACTTAGCTTGGGTCGGTCATAGGGTAAGTGTCTGTCCATTGTGCACATTACGATCCTGTCGGAGAAACCTTCCTGTCTTAAGGTCTCTGCACAAACCAATCCAGCAGCACCTAAAAGGCATAAGGCCAGTAATTGCTACATATGTATTTTATTTAACAAATGAAAAGTTTAGCATCCATCCAGTAAAGGACTCAATCTCTCAGACTTTTTTTTGTGAATCTAGCCTTTCATTTCTTTTGCTTTTATGAACAATAAAAAGGTTGCCTAGTGCTATTCCAGTCATTGATACCTTGGGACAGGGAGTGGATTCCGAATTGCTCCATTGGGTAGCAGGTCTACTCTGTCCTCAGAGCTTCTGCCTCACTGTTTAGGGTTTGAACCCCTGCCTTTCTGGCTCACCAGTTAGAACTGGAGCATTAGGAGGGCTGTAAAATGAGCTGGCTGAAGCCTGGAAAAGCCATTAATCAAATGCATTCTTTGATTAAATCATCATTATCTGATGAGTAACTTGGGTCCAGATTCTGATGTCCATTCCCACGTGTAGCTGTGCCTTGCTCTAGGAACAGACCCTTTGAAACCAAGGGACAGGAGTTTCAGAATTTGGCTTTTATCCAGCAAAGCACACCGGCACAAAGGGAGTGGGTAATGCAATAGGAGAAGAGCAGGCATAGCTGGCTTCTATCCTACTCTTCCCACAGCACCTGGGGCAGGAAGCAAGGGGACAAGGAGTGGCGGAACATGGTGTGCTTTGGCTTTCACCCATGGCATATGGCACCTTAGGGACTAGAGACATCTGGCATATGCAGGGGCCAAGCAGAGAATCAACAGTTGGCTCCCTGATAGCCCTGCTCTACTTCGCTAAGCATGATCTGAATAAACCGTGAAATCTGGCCTAGGATTTGACTAGCTCCAGAGGTAATCAAATACCACAAAAGGTACTTGTTCCATTACATAGTCATGCCATGGCAACATATGCTGAACAATGTCTTGGCCAAAAATATTGAACCAGTTCTAGGTGTATACTTGAAGCTTTGAAAAATGAGTAGAAATTTCTCAGCCTCGGGGCTCTTCTGCAACTAAGCCTGCAATAATGGTGTCATTACAAACAATGAATAGTCCATGCTAACCATCATTAGAAAGGCAGCATCCACCATGACTCCCTGTTCTCTGTAGAAAAGCAACAGCAGGGAAGTTTGTTGCTGCCTACAGACTGGTGAGGTCTTCTATTCTGTAAAGTTTTGTTCCATCCACAAAACACATTTTAAGAAAAGCACAAAGTACCAACACAAATGCAACTGGCCCCTCCTACTCACACTCCTCCTCCAATTTGTCTCGGGTAAGTTTGGAACTAAAGCCATGTCTACACTAGGGAACTGCTGTAAAATGATCTCATTGTTGCTATCATCATTTCAGCTTGGCTGGTGCTAATTATATTGGGAGCACTAGTGTCAAGGGGCTGTTTTAAGCACTGAGCTGATTAAACATACTCAGAGCTGCGTATAAGACCCAGTGCTTAAAGTAAGTACTGCAGCCAGTAACCCATCTACGCTAGACCAATAGATTCCAAGGACAGAAAGTAGCACTGTGGTCATCTAGTCTGACCTTCTGCATAACACAGGCCATAGGACTTCCCTGAATTAACTCCTGTTTGAACTAGAGCAGATCTTTTTGAAAAACTAGGTTGTGAAAACCAATGCAGTTGAACTGGTGACAGAGCAGAGTTTTGCAAAATTTTCTTACTGTAGACAAAGCTTTAATTCCAAACTTAACACACAAGAGAGATTGCGGAGGACAGCAGGGACAGAAGCTTTGCTATTATATACCTGTATTTTATATAGCCTGGAAGAGTGGAGGTTATCAGCAGCTCAGGAGCATGGGGGGGAATGTCAAAGGAACTGGGGTGGTGATTAGAAAGAGAAGTGCCTGGAGTGTCTGGTGATGGTTTAGGAGGAAATGACTGTATTCACAGAGTGGGAGAATTAAAATAGATCAGGTGCAGGAGTTAGGGGTTACTTATACACAGGACATCCACATTTCCCATTATTGCTCTGGAGCTAGGGTGTGTGTTATCTCAATACAGACCAGGAACATAACTTACTGGGCTAACTGTGCAGTGAAGAAATACCCTGAGAAACTTGCAGTGGGAGCGGTAGTTAGTTACCCAGTGTGGGAGGTTGGGGAAGGGTTTCCACAAAGTTTGGGAGCAAATGTCTATAAATTAGGCACACGGGGACATTGTACACAGAGTCCTAGATTTTCATCTCGTCTGACTTGCTGCATAGCCCAGGCCAATGGTTAGCGTAGTGGCATACACAAATCTTGAGCTTAGTTAATAGTTCTGTATTGGTGGATCTGGCTGTGGGTCTATACACATTAGGAGAATGGACAGTTATGTACCCAGACTGGGAGTGGGATGGGTGTATCCACAGACTGGCCAGGAAGATGAAGGGTGTACATCAGTTAGCATATACTATTCACTGTTCTCTTTATATCCTTCACTGAAATGACAGATCTGCTGCTGTCAGCAGGCACATCTCAATACCTGCTCCGATGATCAGCACGTTGGTGCTACTGATATTGTAGTTGCTGAGGGAGATGCATTTTGCCATAACCTTTGTCCTTCTTTGCGTCAGAAGAGCCTGTGTAGCAATTAATGAGATGACTGTCATTAACAGTTCAAAGCTTTAACTTTGCCAGGTACAAATGGGAACAGCTATGAGTTATTTTGTAAAGCAGCTTGGATGAAAGCTTCACTCTTATTGCCTGAAGAGGATTCCAAACTCAGACCCAACAAAAGCATGATGGGACTATAAAACCTTTCTACCAGACATGTCACTATGCCACTTCCAGAAGGCAGTTGAAGAATAAATCCACCATCAGCCACAAATTCATCCAGGTCGGAAAGTTTGGGTGCCGAACAAAGCTGTGGCAATGCTGATTCAATGTTCTTTAGCTTTACAACTATACAGCAGCAAGTCCTAGCAAAGCAAAGTTCAGTGTAACTTCTACCACCCCATGTACGGCCCCCCACATTGCCAGTGGAGAACTCAGCACAGGATGGTAGGGATGGGAAGATGTTATCCCTTTTCATCAAACCCCAACATTCACGTGTGTAACCTGGGTAGATGGGACACTGCATCACAAATCATCTGTCCACATGCTGGCAGCCACACCTGATATTAGTGACCTCTTTGGGCCAAATCTTTGAGTCAGTGGAGCTCCTTAAATGTATGGGTGGATATCAGAATGTGGCTCCTAATAGATAGAATGTGCATAGAATCATAAGACTTGAAGGGACCTCGAGAGGCCATCTAATCCAGTCCCCCGCACTCAAGGCAGGGCTAAGCATTATCTAGACCATCCTTGACAGGTGTTCATCTAACCTGCTCTTAAAAATCTCCAATTACAGAGATTCCACAACCTCCCTAGGGAATTTATTCCAGCGCTTAACCACCTTACAGGAAGTTTTTCCTAATGTCTAACTTAGCCCCCGGGCTGCAATTTAAGCCCATTGCTTCTTGTCCTATCCTCAGAAGTTAAAGAGAACAATTTTTCTCCTTCCTCCTTGTAACAACCTTTTATGTACTTGAAAATTGTTATCATGTCCCCTTTCAGCCTTCTCTTCCCCAGACTAAACAAACCCGATTTTTTCAATCTTCCCTCATAGCTCATGTTTTCTAGACCTTTAATAATTTTTGTTGCATATCTGAGCAGTCTCTAAAAGCAAACCTAGAGCATTCCTTGTGGTACTCCCTAGGGGGCAGCAGATAACCTTGGCAACTTGAACCCCATTGTAGCTCTGGGGATGAGGGCTGGAGGGTTTGAGTGTGGAAGGTCTATTTATTTCCTGTTTGGACATTTGTTTACCTAATCAAAGGGCCAAAGGATCAAATCACCCTTGCCTCCCAGCAAGCTGCGATCCCCAGTCCCTGTGTTTGGATGCCAATGGAATCTCTCCCCCTCACCTGCTTGCTTGCTCGGATGTACACCTTCTCCTTCTCGATTTTCACCTGGGGCGAGAAGACAGCAGCAGTTTGCAGCACAGTTAGCGTCTCTGGGTTTAAAGGGAGTGTTCTTGTCTAACAGCTGCTGAACTAAACATAGCTCAATGCAAAACAGGTTCTGTCCACTCAGCCACATTGCATGCTCGCTGTATTCTCTGCATGGCCCATGTAAGAGCTGGGTGAGCAGCACCCAGGGCTCTCCTACACCCAGGGACCTGGGACTTTCTCTGTTAACTAGTATCAGGTGTACAAGGATCTTTAGCAGAGTGTCCATCTCTGTTCGTCTGGATTCTTATCCCACATGCCTAAGTGTCTTCTCAGCACCGTGTCCTGGGGGGCACCTGGATGCCCTTCTCCCCTCCTTCTTCCTCAGCCCCACCACTCTTCACCAGCAGCAGCCTTTGTGTAACAAGCCCTTCCCATGTATGTGCCCCCTCCCTTTCTCTCTCCTTCTTCCTTACCCTGGAGACTCAGTTTCACAGGAGCTGGCTGGCACTTGCAAGATGGGTGCAGGGCAAAGGGGTCAGCTGGAATCATGGGGGTCAGGTGGAGGGAGCAGTGAGTGGGGTCACATGAAGTCACCACCACTCCCACACTTGGGAGACCCCAGCTCTGCACTCTGAAAGGAAAACACTTCCCCTGCCCCCTCCTTCCCCAATGGTCATTTCTTTCTCTGCAGATTGAAAGATCTCACCTGGAATTTGGGTAAGCTGTCCAAGCCAGGAAAGTCCTCTATATCACCAGTGCCGATGCTGAAACAAGCCCCATGCCAGGGACAGCGCACTCTTCCTTTGGATAAAACCCCTGCAAAAGGCATGGCAGGAGCGAGTCACACCTCACTGTAGATCCTTCCCTACCATTTCCTAGCAATCCCAGCGAGAACTTAGTGCAGCAACATCCTGGCAACATTACTGATGGCCAATGATCAGGTGTTGGCCCCCTTCATGCTGGCTCAGTGACAGTGCAGAAGCATGTCAACATATATTCACAGATCTGGAGGCCACTGTATTAGCCTCTGTCATTGATCCTGGAGGGGATGGAACTGCAGGTGCTGAGGATAAGTCAGTTCTGCTGAGGTGATCATGGTTGATTGCAGGGGGATGCAGTCCAAGGCCTGGTTTGAGAGTGGGATAACTGTGTGATACCATCCAGAGAGGTGATGGCTCGAGGCCTGAGAAAGGGGTGCCCTCAAAGAGGCCAGGAGGGGTCAAAGGTGCAGCTAGCCTGGGAACTGTGACAGGGCTCACTGGACTTTAAATTGTGCAGCCCAGTGCTCAGGCATGGGACCCAAGTTGCGGGGTGAAGGTTGTTATATAGACTCTTGTGCTCCCCTATTGCAGGGGTGGCAGGGGTTGGTTCAGCCCCTGATGCTAGTTAACAGCTGTCTCCTGCAAAGGAGCTAGAGCGGAGCTGAAAGTCTGGTGCCTAGGGACCAAAGCCAGCTCTCCCACGAGCCCAGCAGGTAAACAGACAGCAATAAGCTATAACTGTATAAGCTCCTTCGTAACAAGAGAACTGTATCCACACCAGGGGGTGCACCAATTTCACCTGGAATAGTTAAATTTGCTGCAAAAATGGCCTGTAGAGCAGCTCTTACTGTTTTTTTGAGGTAAGAATGTTTATGTGGTGTGGCTGGTTATGTGCAGAACCAGACTGTAAGCGTGAGGTGGGTGGGAGGAAGAGCTCTGGCTTCCAGGTAAGACGCAGGACCACAGCAGAGCCATCCACATAGAGGATGGAATTTCTAAATGCTCTGTCGTAGAGAAGAATAGAATAGAGAAGAATAGTTCTCCTCCGCAGCAGGAATCACTGGGTGAAAGTCTCAGACCCCTGTGTTAAGTGGGGAGTCCTGGAGAGATCCCAGTGGATCAATGATCGGCTGGCAGGGCGGCCAGCGGAGAGGCGTGGCGACTGGCCAGCAGGGCGGTGAGTAGAGCCTGGTGGAGAGACATGGCGATTGGCCAGCAGGGCGGCCGGTGGCGAGGAGCGGAGCACTGATCAGCTGGGCAGCGGAACAAGTGAGGTACCTTCTTACTCTCCCCCCACTGCCCAGGGTGAGAGGTGAAATCTGCAGATGAATCTCTCAATTCTGGGTCTGCCCTGACCAAGGATAACAACTGTGAGTGGGCTGCAGAGAAGGGATGGGCATGTTAAGGGGACTTTTGGTTGCTGGACTTAAGAACCTGAGGGGAAAAGGACACTGCCCAACTTACTTGGGAGTGGGCCTTTTGCTAATGGTTTATGTTTGTGAACCCTGTTTGTAGTGTTTTCCCAATTTAATGCCGGGTTACTTCCCTCCTTTTATTAAAAGTTTCTTTGCTACATTCAGACTCCATGCTTGCGAATGGAGAAGTATTGCCTCTTAGAGGCACCCAGGGGGTGGTGTGTAATTGTCCAAGTCACTGGGTGGGGGCTCAAGCCAGTTTCGTGATGTATTGTTGAAAAGGAACCCCTAGATACTGAACCCAGCTCTTGTTGCTGTCAACTTGGACTGGCAGAAAGGTTATATTTCTATTCTTCAAACATCATTTTAAGAGACTTCACTCAGAGATGTGCTGCATAGGCTAGCACGAGATCTGTTAGCAAATCAAACATGGACAGAGTGCTCTGCAGAGGATTTTGATCCCTTTCCTGGATTAACAGTGTATGTTTACCTCAAAGGCAGGATGTCTCTATAGACCTGAAAATTCTGCAATGTAGTGAATGATACCAAATGGCTCAGATTCTTCATACGGATCCATTGTCTGTTGTGACTATCTGATTCAGGTTCATATTCTTACACCAAGAGCGTACAGACTAACCTTTCACCAGTGGGGCTCCGTAGTGAGGGCATTTGTGTCCCATTGCATAGTAGTCTCCATTTTCCTTTATCAGCAGAGCCTTCCCACAACCCAGGTCTACTTCTCGCATCCTGGAGTTAAAAAGCATGAAAAATATAGTATACATAATAAATAATAGTAACAATAATAAATATCTATTATCACTGCCTTTTGATCCGCTCGGGCTATCACATGTCAGAGAGCCAGTCCCAAGCTTTCACATTAGCTAATGGTTTCTTTTTAGCTATAAGCACAGTTACTTACTGTCACTGGAGGTTCTTCAAGGTGTGTGGTCTGTAGCTGTACTCCATCCGTGGGTATGCACAGGGACGTCCTTAGGATTTATGGGGCCCTGTGCAGTATTATTAAACTGGTGCCCCTATGCCCGATGGCAGCCCAGGCTTGCATGTGTATTTTAGATAAGGGTGGTCTTTTGAAGGATTTATTTAGAAAACTATATGTCTGAAGATCCAAGCATTTAAGGCTAAAGATGAATACTCAGATTATGCATCTAAAAAAAATCTATGCAAGGATTTTTTAGAGATGTGATTTTGTAATCTTCAGCAACACACTAATGAAATATTTTTAAAGCAAATTTTAAACTAACGTCCTGTAGACTAAACATGTTCTGAGTAAATATTACAGTAATGCACAACTGTTTTTGTCAGTAAATTCAGAAACTGACAGTGTACACCCGGGGGTTGGCAAATGCCTGTTAAATGGCTTCATTACCACTTGAATGGGAGGTGGGATGCGAGTCTGCAGCATTCAATAATGCAGCCAGAAACCTACTTAGAAATCCTCTGAAAGGATATAGCCTAACCATGGGATCTCTCTGCTATCACAACAAAGTCTTGGAGACTTTGATGGACTTGGTTCTTTGCAGGTCAAAGCCAGTGCACACCTGATGTTGAGGGAATGAAGTCTTTTCTCTTCATGTGAAGCATGGATTTTTGGAAAAAGGACAGGTAAGGAAATATACTGGTGAAGGTAGAATTTGGAGATGACATTGGGTAGAAATTTAGAGTGAAGGAGAAGGAATAATTTGATATGTCAAGACTCCTTTACAGTATTTCACAAGAACAGAGTACAATCCAAACCAGTGCAGGGTGCGTCACCTCTGCCCTGTGACCTGGGGTGCTTTGCAATGCCTTGCTGCTGTAGCCTCCAACCTGGACTGCTCACAAACAGCCACCAGCAGGCAGGTCACTCCCAGATGTGTTTGTGTAACTGAAAACTGCCAGTCACACCCTGGCTCTCACCAGCCTCGGTTATACTGCGGAGTGACCCCAAAACACTCCCAGTCCTGGATTGTCCCCCAGAAATGTATGTCCTGGACAGTACAAATATATTAAGTTTGTTATTCCTTTAAGGGAATAATATCAGCTCACTACCATAAATAGAGTTACCCTGTCACTTCTGCTTAAACAATAAAACAAGTTTATTAACTATAAAGAGATACATTTCAAGTGAGTACAAGTCATGAGGCATAAAAGTCAGAAATGGTTACAAGAAATATAAAGATAAAATACTTTCTAGTGCCTAAGCAAAACGTCTCACCGAATGCTTCCATCAAGATTACGGACCAAACATTTTAAGTCAGAACCCCACCCCTAGAGGTCTTGGGGGAAACGAGCAACAAATGCTGCACCTCCCCAAGACGCGCATCTCCCCCAGACAGTAGAGGCAGCGTTGGTGTTGTTGCTGATGCAGAAGGATCTAGGGCAGGAAACACAGTTTTTGAAGCCCAGAGTCTAGGCATTGTCCCCGACTACGGGGAGGGAATCCCCAGTCCGGGAAAACAAACTACACTATCTACACTAGGACTAACTGAACTAAGCTAAAGAATAACTGTTTACAATCTTATCTCCAGGTTTTCTGAAAGGCTGAAGCAGGAGAGGACACTGCATTCTAACTCCAGCCATATAACGACATTATCTCTTTCTGTAGCTGTGCTAAACAGCATTGCAGATCCAGTCACTGCTGTGCTGGCCACTAGGACAGCTTTGCCAACCATGCATCAACGCTGCATGATCCCCCTCTCCCACCACATGTCAAACATTGAATCAAGTGCATAACAATGTATTCAGCATCTGTGTTAGATCTTCAGTAAATATTTTTCACACAGTTGGCTTGATTTGAATTGCTGGGGGATGCTGGCGACACAGATCAACAGTATAACCATCGGCGCAGCTTAGACTGACTCCTGATCAAACCAGGGCTCTAGAAAGCTCATGGGCTAAATTCCTCCCATCTTCCCTTTCCCATTTGAATCGACTTATGGTAGCAGTAACATCTGGAATGGATCAGTTTCATTTTTGGTACTGGTTACCTCAATTTAATGTGCACTTTTGATTTTAAAAAATGGGCCAGTTCTCAGCGGGCATAAACTGATGTAGCTTCATTAAATTCAATGGTTGCTCTGGCCAATTTACACCATTTGGGATTTTGAGCCCATTAACTTCAATGGGACTGTGCTGTTTACACTGAAGCCAGTAAGACTAAATCCTTCAATGAGGTTCATAGATTCCAAGGCCAGAAGACCTCCTGTATTACACAGGTCAGAGAACTTCCCTAGAATAATTCCTTTGAACTAGAGCATAAGTTTCAGAAAAACATCCAATCTTGATTGAAAAGTTGCCAGTGAAGGAGAATCCAACATGACTCTGAGTCAAGGTTGAGCTGACTGATACCAGCAGGGGGTCTGGTCCCACTGCTACAATGAGATCCAATTGCTTTACACTGGCAGAGGATCTGGCCTTACTGGTTTCCAGGGGGCTGCATGCATTATGCTGGCGAAGGAACTGGCGGAAGATGTTCAGCAGCTTGGCAGCAGGTATTTCATTCCTGACTAGTGCATTTACACATGGAATGCTGCTTTCCAGGGATTTTTGGTGCAAGGATCTCTTTCGTCTCAATCTCCTGGGTATGGTGAACTGTTGCCCTTTCTATGGAACCCAGCTGTGGCCTGTCAGCTTGCCCACAGGATCACTGGGAGCATATTTAGTGATGCCGCCAAAGCAAACGCTCTCGCTTGCAGAAGGGAGTTTCCAAACACTGTCACTTGCAAGAGGGAGTTTTAGGATGCAGCAGTGAGGTTTATTCAGGTTTTTGCAATTAAAATAAAAATGAATAATCTTTATTTATAACCAAACAGCTCCCCTCCATTGTGGAGGGCAGCTCTGCAACACATTATCCTACTATAGCAAAATATACATTCATCAGTGTCATCATTTCAGATGAACTGTCCGTAGCTTGTACAATCATTAACATAAAGCCACTTAACACTGTCTCACCATTGGCTTCATCCCCAAATACCTGGGAGAAGAGATGGGTTTTGCGGCATGTCAGGAAGAATAACTGGGCTTTAGCAGACTAAGAGGGAAGCAAGTTGAAATGCCTGCCCTTTACAATGAACAAATCCCTCCATGTAAACCCAGGGGACTGCAGAAGGCGCTCTTCCACCTCTCTCAATGACAGCATACACGGAGAGAGAGAGAGATCTTTATATCAAGATTAGATCTCTATCTACAAGTTCTGCTTTAAGTCAACCACAGGTTACTGAGATCCATGCAGGAATCGCAGGGTGAGCTCCCTGGCTAGTGTTATGCAGTTCAGACAAGATTAACACAATGGTCCCTTTTGGCCTTAAACCCCTAGCAATCTATGAAACCATTACTGCCTCTGCTGCCAAAAACTTATCCTGTAGGACAGCATATGAATCAAATCTCCTAAGAGACCTACCCTTCTTCTTGACTGTCCCTCCTCTGCCCACACCACAGACAGCCATGGTGACAAAGGTTCACAGGGGAATATTCAAAACCTTCAGACTATCCAATCCTTAAGATGCCCAGCAGGGTCCCTGTCCCTCTGTTAAGGACCTTTATTGAAGCCTTTAATGAGCTAAATATACTTCAGCAATTGGTTCTAAATCTGCGTCCACTCCTGATAACTGCCATCCCGGGTGGGTGGGTCTGCTCCTCATCTCTCAGTCTATTTTGAATCAGGCAGCTGGCAGATCTCTCTGGGCCAAGTGCCCTTGATTGCCATGCTCCATCCCAGAGGAGTGGCAGAATCCCCCATGGCCTCCTCGTTTTATGCTGCAAGTCCCAGTTATCCTAGCTGACCTATTTTTGGAAGTTAGGTGCCTGAATACCTTTGTGAATCCCACCTCTCTGGTGCTCTGTAGGTCTCTGCTGGGGTCCTAGCTAGAATGCTGGTGCTCCCATAGGACATCACCAGAGTCCCCCTGCTGTGCAACGAAGTGGAGCACCTGCCAGACTTCAGTTCTGCACCTGCCTACCTTTACCCAAGAATTGTCCCACTGGAATAATCCTTTTTGGCATGTGCTTAGACACCTTGCTGATGGGGCCCTAAGCAGCAGTATGGGTTACTGCTAAGGACATACCGCAATTTTATTGGAGCAGAATGCTACAAGGGCTCTACTCCCTCCCATGTGCCTGTTTAGTCCTTGCAGTAAGCACAGTCCAAATGGAATAAAGAGATCAATGCATTCTCATGCTTCACCACATGCAAAAGGAACAAGTCTTGCTGCATTCTTCGGATGGATTTTATTTCAGACCAACCCCACAGTTCTTGTTAAATGACAACTTCAGAGTTATGAAAAGATAAGAGAAATGGTTTACAGCCACCCGAAGGAACCACTTGACCTGAGATAGATAATCATCAGCACCTGATGTCTTGAAGCAAATACAGAAACCTTGTGCAAAAGATTTCAAATGACACACTCATTCCACAAGTGAGTGAGATGGCTATTTACAACCAAGGGCTGTTAGAATGAAGCAATCTACTCATTTAGAGTCATTCCTATTAAGATTTTATTCCATATTTTTAAAAAAGGGGGGAGGGTTAAGGTTAGTCATGTCTGCCCAGCTTGCACTCACAAGCCAGGAAATGCCAGTTAAAATGCAGGTCTGTCCTGAAAAAAAGCCTTTGGAAAACCAGCCTCTGTCTGTGTGTTCCCTATTCATTTTGTCTCACTGACCACACATCGGTTTCTAAGCACAACGATGTTTTTTTTAAAAACTTACTCAGCTAGACCACACTGAAGCAATGCTGGCGAGACAGGGTTAGCAACTTGAATAACTCATCCCTCCCACCAAAGGCATTTACACCGCAGTCCACAGGTATAAGACCCTGCACTCCCATTTCCTTTGCAATTGGTCAGAATATTGCACCTGATCCCATCGCACTCAGACTGGGTCACGGCGATCCATGCATTTACACTCGGATACTGCAATTCCCTGTATCTAGGAATGAAGGCCTATGCTCAGAGGAAGCTCCAGTTAGTTCAGATTGTGGCAGCCTCAGGCTCAGCAGCGGAGGGTCACCAGGAAGAACACATCACTCCAATATGCCACTCTGCACTCGTCCCTATTGAACAGAATCCTGTGCAAGCACTTGACCTGATTTTCAGAGTTCTGCCTGGAATGTCTCTCTGTCTCTACGATGACAGCTTTGCTTGCTGCAGCAATGAAGCTGTGGATGAAGAAGTGGAGCTTTATGACTGAGGGAGGCAGTACTTTCATGGGAGATAACCCAAAACTATGGACTTGCTACCAGATGAAACAAAAGTGGCTTATACTTACAAGCCAGGCTGTAGGTGCCACGAAAGTAAGGGAACATGATGTCAAGGGACGCACTCGCCGCTTGCAGCGCCTACTGCTGGCCATCCTGGGGATTAGCTCTGCCAGTTTATGCTCTCCCTCCAGTGTTGTCTTCTCCTGTCTTGTCTCACTCTGCTGCCCCGCTCACTTCTGGGTCTGCAGCTTCCTCCCTCTGGCTTGGCCCTCCGGCCAGGTCACTTAAGTCTTCCCCTTCTGGAGAATCTGCAGTCTTTCCAGACCTTCTGGCTGGCAGGCATCTCCAACACCTTTTGCCACTCCCCAGAGGCTGGTAGGGGAACCCAGGCCCATCCTTTACACTGGGTTCCAGCCCAGGGACCCTAGAACAAGCAGCCACAGTCCCTGTGCAGTCCAACCCCTTGCTGCTGTTTCCCTGGGCTTCTTCCTACATATCTGGTTTCCCCCCCTCTCTGGGTTGTTACATAATCTGTTGTTTTTTGTTCTGGTCTGAATATGTGTTTTCATCAATATGTACCAGTGATCTATTGTCTGATATCCTAACAGATTCCATTGTTACATGAAAAATCAGGACTGTGAAATTGCATGCAAAGTGTGTTTCCATTAGCACAAAAACATCAGAAAATTCCATTCTTCGTGAGAGAACAAATTGATGAGGAACCAGATCAACTAGAAAAACAAGACAAGGTAGAAGTGCTATGGGGCCTACTCCACAAACTCCACGCGCTTGTTTTACTTAAACTAGTTTGTTAAAATGCTAAGTCGAGAACTTTGCAAATAAACTTACAAATCATTAAAGAAGCAACTAAAGGATACTAGGCAAGGTCTATTGGAAACTAGTGTCGCATCTCCCCAAAAAGGAGTTCCACAGGCACAGAACATGAGAGAATTTCATGTATCCAAAAACATTAAAGAGGAGTTGTCACTTGTACAAGATTCTATTGTATTCAAACTGGAGGAAGATAACAATACCCATATTACAAAGATAAATTACACTAGCCACAGATGGTCCGATCATCTTGGATTAGTCAAGACTAAAGAGCTAGTGAGAAAAAAGCAACAGTTTCCATGACATAGGCCTGATTCAGCAAAGCAGTTAAATACATGCTTACCTGCATATGCTTAAATGCTGTGCTGACTGGAGATAAATTTAAGCTTAAGCACAAAGTTACAGTTGAGCACATGCTCAAGTGTTTAGATAAATTGGGGTCATAACATGCCACATTTCACAGACGTGTGCAGCCTTGCTGTTCAGCTCCAGCACCATGCTGTCAGCATTTCAGTTATGGTAATAGTATATGGTAGCATGTATAAAGCCCTCTGGGATCCTTCAAGCTAACTGTAAAAATGTTAAACACTTACTGTCCATTCTCAAGGTCCTTCACGTGGCACACTGAGGCTTCAACTACATCCTTCACGTTCTGGTAGGGGTTGATGGTGATGGGATGTTCTTCAAGGTGGTAATGCCGGGCAGTCCCATTGACTTTGTAAACAAGTGGACTGGCTTTCCCATTGGGTGACATCTCTTCCTTCGCCCTCTCTTTCTCTGGTAGGACAACTTCAATTTTCACTTCAACTGCAGGAGCGAACAGAAATCTTCATTCAAACTAAGCAGCAGTTTTTTCAGTCAAATTATATAATTTCTCCAGAAATCTGCAGATAATGCTATTATGGCCTTGAAACATTACTTCCAGCTTTCCTAGGAACACTGGCTTTCAGGAAATTCTAGGTGACCTGACGCATACCATTCAGATTGCCATCTTTGCTGCCTTGGCTGGGAAGGTGGCATATTAAATCTCAGTCTTGACTAAGTTTTAACAGCCATGACCCCTATATTCCCTTTTTAATCACAACCCACCAGTTTTCCTTAATATGTACCAACCAAGTATTCTTGCAAACAGAAATATTAAAGCTTTTGAAACCCCACCCAATCAATGTTAGTCTTGTTCCCTGTTAATGAAATACAACTGCTAGCAATCAGCTGTAATTTATGTTTAGGCTTAGACGCTTCAGTTTCTAGTCATAAATGGGTCTCTGTTCATCTGAAAACAGATAAAGAAAAATTGTCCATCATTAATAACCAATATTAAATGGGAGGTAAAGCTAACCCTATACAGTATGGTATATTAAATCTGTACACAGCTGAGCAGGCTTTTGCTACCACTTCAGATGGTAATTAATAAAAAATTGATGTTATGAATTTCAACTATTATTTGAGTTCTGACTCTTATGAATCCTGAGCATTAAATGGGAAAGGTGCACAAATTTGGCAATAGAAGATGAAAATCATCCTGGGGATAAACAGCAGTATTTTCCAGCAACATTGGCTGATTTTCAAATTTGAATTTTTGACAGAGCTGCTAGAGGAGAAAGAGCCTTCCTAGAAGCCATGTAGCCCCAAGATCTGTGTCTAACGCCAGGCGCTGGCAGCATCTGAGTTCTAGTCCCAGCTGTGCTGCTAACTGGCCTTAATACTTTGTACTTGCAAGTGTAAATGATATTGCAACTGCATGCAATGTCTTTGGGGACCATATTTTATTAAGTGTTGAATGGTTTATTTATCGTTATGGGCCAGGGAGCATTGCAACTCCAAGGGGGAGGGTTACTGCCACTCCTCCTGGAGCTAAAAGCAATGGAGGGTGATTAAGGCAAGTCTCTGAAACTGCCAACATGTCCAAAGAGGTGCCACCTGCTGGGGAGGTATGCATACACTGGTCCAAACATAGTTTTTCAGAGACCAACAGATGAAGAAAGGGCTTTCTAGATAAAAGGACTACATTTAAATTGACAAGGGACCTTCTTTCTGAACCAGCAGCCAGGACATTCTCTCCAAGGGGTCCTCCCACCAACCCTTGTGAAAGTGTTTGAAGGACTTTGGCCTACTAAGGCCCCATAAGACCTATGAGGTGACCTCTGTTAAGCTTTTAGCATGTGTATAGGAACCTCTATTGATTTTATGCTTTTCTGTGATATTTTTACCTTAAGAATAAACGTGTTTGCTTAGAAAGACCTGTGCGATAACTTGTAACTGCTGGCAATACACTGCGTAGAGCCCTTGGAGAGAAAGCCATGCACAAGCGCTGACCGTTAGGCAGACTGGGGATATCCCTGTGTAAGGCAGGGAGCTGTGCAGCCTTAAAACCCGCAGTCAGAAGGGAGTGGGGCAACACTCCCTTCTCAGAGACAGGTGATACCTGAGACCTGACTGGGCACTCCTGGAATGGGCCACAGAGTGGGGAATACAGGGGCAGTTACCCTCACACTGTGGTGGCAAACATTATTTGTTTATGTCTCATAACATAAGGAAATGATCATTGTCTGCATTAGCAGCTGGAAAATGGGGAGATTGATATTCCTGTGACTTGTACAGGAATTCCCATAGCTGCCAGGTTTTGCGTGAGATTCAAGTGAGGATAATCATGACCTTTTCTTACTAGTGAGGAATGTCACATGGAACTGCACAAACTCCCTTTCCCCACAAACCAGTCAATTGCTGCTGCTGACCCATCTCCCCCAACAGTTGCTTATCGCTAGATTCACAAAGGAACTTAGGGGTGGTGACATGCAGGGGCCTAGAAAATCACTGGGATTCACAACACTTGAGTTCAGTACCTGGGCTCCCTGCACACTGGAAAGGGAGAGATAGGCACCTCAGAATGGGATCCACAAAAGCCAGCATGGGAGGTGGCTCCCCGCCTCAGCTAGTTAATGGCAGTTTCCAAGACAAGTGCATCCTCTCTGGGAGTTTGGCACCTCCCTCTGTTTGGAATTCTCATCAACAAAATCCTTACTTGGCATTAGGTGCCTACGGCAGGGGGGGGGAAGCAGGGGTCTTCCCCATCCCAGGAGAGTACCCACCACTGGGCTAAAAGCTATGAGGGACATCCTCCTTCCCCAGCCATTTTGTGTTTGTTCACCTATGGGGGATCTACTCTGGTAGGTGAGATCTGCGCGCACCAGTTCACAGGCGAGTTAGATCAAGAGGCACCTATTTCTCTCAGTTTGTGTTTCACTCTGGGGCTTAGGCATCTGGACACGTGGAGGGAGGCAGCAGCACGCATGCTCATGGGCAGAAAAATAGCCCCTGAGCAAACTTCTACTGCAAACGTGTCGGTGCCAAGGGAGTTTATGCACCTACAGGGTTTGGTGGCAGCTGAGCAAGGGCTTTGTGAATCCCCGTGGGCCTGATTCTGGGATTTAGGCACCTAAAGTGGCAGTTAGGTTCATAAGTCCTTTTGTGAATCCAGCCCTTGGTGCCCCCTAACACTCAATGCATCTGAAACTGACCCAGGCCAGCTGTAGAGGAGGAAACCTTCAGCCAGGACCAAGCAACACACAGGAACCCCAGCTTCACTTTGCCAGGAGGAGGAGCAGCAGCAGCCAGGGAAGTGGGAGAGGCCGGGGAAAGGACAGAATTGCAGACAAAGGGGTGGGAGAGGGAGTTGCTGCCAGAGGCTAGGGGTGGAGTAGCTCAGCTTTCATATTACCACTGGCCCTTAGCTGCCAAATGGGCAGTGTGCGGCCACAGAAAAGGGGGCCTATCTAATGCCTCCAGATAGCAGTGCCTCTTCTGCAGCAGCTGGGAGAGTTGGAGGGAAAGGGAGAGAGCGGCTCAGATTTACAGCAGGGTGCAGCTTGCTCCTTACCTTTTGCCAGCCATGCTGGCATAGTGAGGGGGGCAAAACCAACACACTGCCCTCTCCATTTCTATTGCAGCACTCCTGCTCTTGGTCCTAAGCTTGTTCCTGCAAACTGCCAACAGGTGGGGTGGGGCCTTATACCTTCTCATTCCCCTGCATTAGGATCAGTGAAAATCTGGGCCAGTTAATAAAAAGATAAATGAAAATGACTCTACTTGGGGCACAGAACTGCAAATGCATGTCAACCTGGGAAGACAGTGGCTGGAAAGTAATAACAGAAAAAGAGTTTGGTTTAATAGGAGTTGAAATGTTACAGGTATTTAAAGTGGTACTATCTTCATAAAGACAAATACAGTCTAGCAATGGGTAGCTTGCAGGATGTCATGCAAGAACCTGGAGGTGAGTCTCCTTTACATAATTAGGTTGGTTAGATACCAGCTGATGCATGGGCACAGGGGAGCTCTTTGGGGAGATGTCTCAGAGATCACTGTTGGTACCAGCTTAATTGAACACCTTTACTGGTAATCTAGAAGCAGGGAATAAACATTAATTAATTAAACTTGCCAGGGTACTTCAGGGTAGGTAGCACCCTGGGAAGCTGTGACAATGAAAGAATTAAGGGTGAGAGCAGACAGCAAATTAGGTAGTAGTAGTTTACAAAGAAAATGCGAAAAAAGGCAATGACCAGATATTGAAAGGTAAGCAGCTAGTGCAGTGGTGCCCCAACTTTTCCTGTTGTATCCTCCCCCCCCTTACCTGTCCATGCACCCCTCCATTATTGCACAGTTGGCTAAGCAGAGGAGCTGGAGGTGGAGTTAGATGTGGAGCTGGCCTTGGGGCGGAGAGGGAATGACGCCATGGGGGTGCAGCAGGGGCTGGAGTGGAGCTTGGGCGGGGCACAGGGTGTAGCGGAGCTGGGCTGGGGGCAGAGTGGGTTTGGGTGTTGCTCCCTCCCTGCCTCCTGTGGGGACTGGCCTGGGACCCACTGCGTGCCCCCTGAATGTTTCTCTGTGCCCCCCCTAGGGGCCCATGCCCCATATTTGGGGAAGTGGGATTTTCTGAAGCACCTATGCACCAAATTCTTTCCTGGGTATCTGGCTGGAGAATCTTGCCCACATGCTCAGGGTTCAGCTGATCGCCATATTTGGGGTCGGGAAGGAATTTTCCTCCAGGGCAGATTGGAAGGATTCTCTGCACCTTGAAGTCTTTAAACCATGATTTGAGGACTTCAATAGCTCAGACATAGGTGAGAGGTTTATTGCAGGAGTGGGTGGGTGAGATTCGGTGGCCTGCGTTGTGCAGGAGGTCAGACTGGATGATCATAATGGTCCCTTCTGACCTTGGTGTTTATGAGTCTAAATTCCCATTGATTTTAGTGCTTTTTTTTAGCATTAGCTATTATAAATCCGGAAGTCTCATCATCCATTTAAATGTCCAAGCCCTCTTTGACAATGCCAGCCAATGGCAATGACTTCCACAAGCTGTTCCATGTGAAAAAAAATTATTTTTATCACTTTAGAATTTGCCATCTTTCCATTTCTTTCTATGTCCCCTTGTTTCTGTTATGACACAGGGAGACCAGATGCTCCCAATGTACCTTCTCTAGTTGGAAGTGACAGAAGAGGAAAAGGATCTGAGTGTAGTGATTGATCACAGGATGACTATGAGTTGCAGTTGTGATGTTGCCTCAAAAAAGGCTAATGCAGTCCTAGGATGCATTAGATGAGGTATTTCCAGTAGAGACAGGGAAGTGTGAGTACCATTGCACAGGGTGCAGGTGAGACCTCACCTGGAATACTGTGTACAATTCTGGTCTCCTATGTTTAAGGAAGAGGAATTCAAACTGGAACAGGTGCAGAGAAGGGCTACTAGGATGATCCAAGGAATGGAAAACCTATCTTATGAGAGGAGACTCAAACAGCTTGGCTTGTTTAGC